TTTAAAATTTATATATTATTAGAAGTCTAGGAGAATTTTATATTATATAGCTATATTTAAGCTAATATAATATTAAGCTAAACCCAAATTAATAAAAGCCTTATCTTTAAATATATTATTAGATAAGTAGAGTTATATTAAAATATATAAAGACTCTTTATTTATTTTAAATCTTTTATCGCAAAAAATTATAATAATCTTAGGCTTTCTCTTTTTAAAAGAATCTTTCTTTTTTAGGCATAATTTAAATCTTTATATATAATCTTTTTTATTATAGTTAAAGCAGCAGCCTTTTTTTTAAATTAGTCTTATTCTACTAGTAATCTAAACTTCTTCTTTTAAGATTTATTTATTCCCTTATATTAATTATTAATCTCCTTTCTTTTTTATCTTAAGATAAAGTCTTTTAATATACTTTATATTAATCTATTTATATTTAGTATAATAAGAAAGTTTAAGAGTTTATTTTTCTTTTAATTTATTTCTTAATTAATAGCTAAAGATATTAATTAATTAAGATTAATTAAGAGGTCTTAATAGTTTAATAAGTTTATTTAAACTTTAAGTTATAATTTTATATAGAAAATATAAGACTAAATAATCTTATTATTATTAAATTCTTTATCTTAGTTTAGCTATATATAAGCTTATTTAAAATAGTATAGAAAAGCTTTAATAGTTTAATTTAAATATTAAATTAGAATATAAAAGTAATTTATTATATTTTATCTTTAGTAATATAGATTATTAAGCAAATTTAATAATTAATCTTTAAATTTATTTTAGGTTAGTATTTAAAAGTTAAAATTCTCTTACTAGTAGATTTAAAATTAAGCTAATTCTCTATTTAATAAAGCTATAGTATAAATAACCTTCTTATCTTCTATTTTAAATAATAAAGCATTATAGGCTAAATATTTATCTATATATTAATACTATTAGTAATAGGCATTAAGTATAATAGCTCTATACCTCTGCAGTTTAAATAGCTTAAGCCTTAATTACTTATTAATATAAATAGCGGTAAAGAGCTATAAAAGGTCTCTCTTTATTAATAAATTATCTTCTATTTAGAATTAATCCCTCTTTAAACCTATTAAAATATCTCTTAGAGTTTATAAGTTAGCTTTAATAATTAGTTATTGCGAGCTAAGTTTAATAATCTCTAAACCCTTTAAAGTATATACTATAGGCTAAAAGCTAAGACCCTTATTCTCTAAGTTATAGGGTATATTAATATAATTATTTATATTACTAAGTTGAGCGATTTAAACTATAAGAAATAAAGATTTTTAAAAATTATAAATAAATTACTCTACTAGTAATTATAGCAAGAGAAATAGCAGCTTTATATACTTAGCTTAGAGAAGAGTCTACTAGTAAAATAAAGGATTAACTATTATAATAAAGGGTCTAACTAATATAAAGAAAGATTTATACTAGAAGATTTTAATAATAAGAGTCTATATAAATAAGGAAATAATAAAATATTTATTATATTAGAATAAATCAGCTAGCCTTTAATAAAATAGTAATTTAAAGCCTATTTATATTTTAAACCTTAAGTACTTCTTAGCTTTATCTTATATAAATCTTAAAAGCAGGGAAAGCAAGGTTTAACTAATTACCTCAGTATTATATTTAGATTTAGGGCTTTACTATAGTCTTATAAGCTTATACTCTAATAAGAAGCTAGGGGTATAATAAATTATACTCTTTATTTATTATTATTAGCGTCTATATTAATAATTATTATTTCTCTTTTTTTATAATTAATTAATTTAAGTACTAAAGCTATTATTAAAGCTACTTCTAAAATATTTATTAATTTTTATTATTTTAATCTTTAAAAAAAGTCTTATCTCTTTTTTAATATTAAATATATTAGCTTAGCTTTAATAATATATTCTTTAATTTATATCTTATAGTAAGCTATAACTCTTAAAAATTTTTTTACTTTTCTTAAATTTTAATAAAATAGTTATTTTAAGATTTTAATTACTTTTATAGATTCTAAGTATCTTTTTTTTATATTATATATATATCTTACTATTTTAATCTCTAGAACTATAAATTATAACTTTTTCTTAATAATAATTAAATTAATAAGTTTAAAACTATATAGTACTTTATTAATATTTTAAATATATTTAAATATAAATCTTTTAACTTTAAATAATACTTTCTCTTCTCTATAGTTAGTCTTAAGTCTTTATACTAGAGTATTATTTTAAAATATATTATAAATATTAGAGATATTATTTATAAATGCCTTTATAACTTTATATATAAATTCTAAGATTATATTAGTCTATTCTTATAATAGCTTAGCTTATTAAACTAAATTAATTCTAAGTATATAAAAAGCTATTAAATTACATAATTTTTCTGCTAATTTTAATTAATTATATTTAGAGAATAAATCTATTAGTATTAATATTAATATTCTGCTAAACTTCTTTAAGAATTTATTAGCTAAAAAGAGTAAATTAATATCTTATATTATTACTTAGTTAATCTCTATTATTATATTAATTAATTAATATTTATTATTTTTCTTCTTTATTAAGAACTATAAGTTTTTATAAAGCCTTTAACTTTATTTAAGAATTTTAGCCTTTATTCTTTTTTTTATTATTTTTTATATTATATTATAAAATGCCTTTAATATTAAAAATCTTTTTACTTATTATAGTTTATACTATATAGTTTAAATAATAACTAGAGATATAACTTTTAAATATATTTATTTAATCTCTTTAAAAGTCTATATAAGAGCTATTTCTTTAATAAAGAGTATTTTTATTAATAATTTCTTTTCTCTTAGCTATAAGCCTTCTCTTATAATAAGATTCTTTAAGTATTTTAAGATTAACCTTATTTCTCTTTTTATATCTAATATTTTTAACTAGATATAATTAATAAATTCTCTCTATATTTCTTTTATACTCTTTTAAGAGTTTATATAATAATTTTCTTAGATAATTTTCTTTTATTTTAATAATTTTTCTAGTATTATTATAAGTCTATTTATTATATTTATTAAATAAACTTTTTTATACTTTTTTTTATATTAAGTATTAATAATATATCTTACCCTTATAATAAAAAGATTATATCTTTTAAATAGCTTATATTCTTATAAATCTCTCTTTTTTTCTTATAATTTAATAGGTTTAAATATTTTTATTCCTTTACTTTTAATTCCCTTACTTAATTTAAAATTAATATTATTTATTAAGTATATTTTTTATAAGTTTTTTCCTTTCTTAATCTAGTATTTATTATTTTTTTCTAGTTTTAATTTAATAACTCTTATATCTTTAATAAAAAGTCTTATAATATTTCTTTTTTTAACTTATTTCTTAAATTATTTATTAAAAATATTTAAATAATAGCTTAATTCTTTTAGTCTATAGAGTAAATTATATTCTTTATTATTTTATTTAATAAAGCAATATATTATAAATATACTTAATATTTAAAGAATTATTCTAGAATATAATTATAATTAATCTTATTATTTATTATAAAGAAAAAGATTTTATAATAAAAAGATTTTACTTATATAAGTATATTTTTATAAAGGCTTATAAAAGAAGTTTAGCTATTATTTATTAATATTATATTATCTCTAAATTTTTAGCTTATAATAAGTTTATAGTAATTTATTATATCTTTATATATTATATTAATTTTAGCTTTATTATTTATTATAATATTTTATATCTTCTTATAATTATTAATTTTAATTAGTAACTTTAAAGTTATAGCTATATAGTATTTTATCTTTATTAAGAGGCTTAAATTATAAGAATATATAAGTATTAAACTATACTTCTTTAATATTATAAAATATTACCTTAATTATTACTTAGTATAGTTATAAGGTAAATAAGGCTTTATATAAATTAAGAGATAAGCTAATAAGGTCTTAGATTAATATTTAAACTTTAATATTTAATATTTAGTTTATAATCTCTATTATATTAATAGTTTCTTTTAACTTATTTATAATTTTAAATCTCTTTAATTTTTATCTCTCTTTTATTTTAATAATCTTTTTATCTTTACTTTTTTTAAATATATCCTTTATTTTTTAATTAACTACTCTTATTTTTTTAGTTATACTTAGAGGCTAATAATTACTAAATTAGTTTATCTTAATTAAGAGAAATCTCTATTCTTCTTTAATTATCTTTTATAATTTTTCCTTATATAATCTTTTAGTCTTATTTTACCTTTTTTTATCCTTTAAAGCTTATTTAATCTTATTATATTAATAAAGTAATAGTTTTTTATAATATCTTTAGTTTCTTTCTTAAAGCTTAAGTTATCTTTAAGCTATTCTAGTATAATTAACTAAATATTATATTTAATTAAGCTAATATTCTTTTATTCTTTTTTAAGTCTTTATTTAATAATCTCTTTCTATAATATATTTTCCTATATAAAATAAATAATTTCTTTATTTTACTTTTTTAGCTTAAAGTAAAGTTTATAATTCTTTTTTTAATAAATAAGAAGCATCCCTTGGTGAATATCATGAGCAGCCTGAGGAAGGCATTACAGGAAGGGTCCGCAAGTCTCCATGGACAGCCTCTCCCGGATCCATGATATGCTGACGTCAACACAGAAGCGAGTCAAAGAGACGGGGAAGAATGAAATGTCAGCCAGAAAGGGAACGGAATGCATCAGATGATGTTCTCGCGGCGTGAACGGTTTTGATTTGGCGTGCGCATGAGTCGTGACAAAGAACCGGCAGTCAGGTGGTTAGCCAGTTCATCTCGTAAATGCAGCTTTTCATGACTTGTTTTTAAGATATCTGAGGCATCTGAGGGTTGTCGAGATTCAAGAGGTTTTTGCTCATACAATAGAGGCACGCCACGATCCGTAGTTTTTCACAGATTTTGTCAATACACTTTTGCTGTTGGGCCAGCCTTCTTCGGTGTCGCGGCCAGGGAAAGCTCTGCATCGTTACTCCTCTCCTGAAGATATGATCATGGCGCAGACAGACTTAATTGCAGCCAGGTGCTCGTGTCAATGCCAAAAGGGCGGTAAGAAGGCCATTGCTCTCGCTGCGGCGCTCCTGCATGGTTCTCCAATTTGAGAGCGGCAACATGGTCGGTTTGGCCGGCTGGCATATCGAACATACGTATCAAGCTTTCAGCCCACTGCCTAGGTCGGCAGCGGTGCCGTCTGCACTTCGAGCAGAGCAAGAACTTCCCCCCTAAGGCAAGCTTCTGCGTCGCTGAATAGTTCGAGGAGAGATCTTGAAGCGCCTGCAGGCATGATGCTCCCTCCACTCGGGATGATTTCGGTACAACGTTTCGACATCGCTTTCCATCCTCTCCCACCCAGATACAATCTTCACGGTGTAAGGGATCACCGATCACTTGGCCCAAGAGCCGAAAGACGTTGTCTGGACTGATATTCATGGCCGGCAAATGAAGATGGAAAGAACAGCTATGCTGTGACGATTGCGATGGAGGCCTTTAAGAGATATCAAAAGCATTTAGCAAAGCATGCGTCCCACTTTATATACAAAACGAAGATGATCCCTCACCTCACTTGACATGCAGTGGGGCTTGCCATTCGATGACCTGACAGGGCTCAGGGCAAATGCACGGCTGCGAAGCGGGGGCCGGTGGCTCCTGGAGTATATGATTCCGTTCCCAGGGATGGCTTGGTGACTCCCGGGGTCTCTTGGTACGCTCCTGCGAGCACTGCTCATCCTAGGACCTGCCATCATTGACGCTGGGAACTGCCATCATTGATACTGGGAACTAGGAAAGCAGAAGTTCAACTCGGTCAACTCCCCAATACTACCGTTCGTTACCAAGAGCAAGAACTATAAATGCCTGGTTGTGGCTCAACTTCAACTTCGTTTTTTGTTTCATCAACGTTGTACACGACACTCTATCTCGCCTCCTTCTCATTCGCACATTCTATTCACTTAACTGTCGTAATGCCTCAATCTCTACTCCTATGGGACGCGTTCACGATCTGTGAAGTGCTGGACAAAGAAAACAGGACATGCTGTGGTCTTACCAAGCGAGGAACGATGGAAGCATCACATTCCAAATGTGCGACAGAAACCTCGAAGAGCTCGTATGCTCTCTCTCAAATCGGGCTGTCGATGACGCTTTCATGCTGGAAAAGAAGTACAGACGCCACATACGAGCCTTCTCGGAGAGAAGTGAGTTTTTCCCGTATCCCAAGATTGAACGACCTTACCTGACACCGATAAATTTGGCGAAAGATGATCCTATTATGTCGCAAGCGGAATGTCAATTATGCGAAGATATCATCAGTCTCTCCCAGAAAACCGCCATGTTTTTCCAACTAGTCAAATTTGACGAGCTGCGACATGATAAACTACAACGATGCGTTTTATTGCTGAAACGCAGTCTTTCCTGGTTGGAGGATCTTCTGCTAAAGACACATACAACCTGGAGACCACCTGAAGAAATAATACCAGGGCTCAAGTTACGTCATGACATCAGCGAGAATACAGCTTGGTTAATTTGGGCTCTAAATGCCAACCTGATCAACTTTGAAAAACTATTGAGCTCGGAAACTTATGAAGTACTCGAATGTTAGCTATGTACTGAACTGTTTTCAATTTATTGCAGTCTAATTCAAATTTCAGGGTTTAGTTACTTGCTCCAGATCTGTGGCAAAAGGGCTACCTAATAGTTACTTGGTTGATTGCGTAAGACTTGATTTTTCTTTGGCGCTTGCATATTGACTCGAACTGCTGTTCGACCTTTCTGCTTTGGGGTAGGGGGAGGGGGGCGGGTGATGGCGCAAAAGAGTTGCTAAGCAGGTGATAAAGCCTTGTTGCTGCTATGAAAAAGGGAAAGAAGGCATGGAGCGTGTGTATGGCAGTTTCCTGTAAAGTATAATCGTATGAGAAAAATACGGTACCTATTTATAAGTTCTCTGGGCCAAAGAGACACCTTGCAAATGATCACTAGCACACATCGCACAAGAGGAGAAAGAGAAAGAGGGTCTCTCAGCAGGTCATTAATTACTTGGCACAAGGTGGCCTTCCCACATGATTTACAGGGATCTACCATAGAAATCCATAAATTTCTATGGGCTTTCTTCTCATACGCGTAATGTAATCTTATGTCATACACTACTGTAATATACACGGCGCATTTTACTGAGCCTCTCAGTTTAATGCGGCTCGCTCAATAAATTGTCTGCGCTAAGGTCTTGGCGGTGGGGCCGGGAAAGAGTATCTCAATGTTTGTTGGTCAAGGCGATTTCGAGAATGGCTGTAAAGGCTCGAATAAAGTTAGGGTATTTGACTGAATTGTGAGAGATCCCAGAGGTGACTAGTGGGGTCCCCTGAACTTCGGGAGGTAAACGGAAAATGAGTAAAGTTTTGACGTGGAGATCGATATCGATGCCCGGGCCTGGAACACGAAAATGTGCTACTCCAGGTAGCTGACAGCCTAGGTGCTATTTTGTCTCCTGGCCTTGGAAACCCACCGTTCAACTAGGTACGACAGTTCAACAGGCTGAGAGCCAGCCAGAGACCCGCCAAAGACTGAAACACGCCAGGAAAATTCACCAGAACTGACAGGGATTCATGACCATTGAAAATCGGTATACAGCCGCCAGCTTCTTTGCTGCCTGATGGAATTCTGAAGCCAAAAACAGCCACACCATAATTCGTTCATTCACTGGCACTGCTTATTTATCGGTGATGAATTCTGACGGCGCGAAATGGAACGAACGCAAACATTGGTCAGAACATGTTGTGGATCACCATCATCCAATTACGCATTCCAGCGTCGGTCAACATCACATGACAATGGGGCTTGGCTACGGGTCTAAACCAGCCGCAGTGGTGAGGGTCTCCCTTCCGAAGAGCTGCGTCTTCCCTCTTACCTCTTGTTTACGTTTATCATTCTTCCAACATCTGCAAAATGGACCTTGATAATCTTGCGAAGCAAAGTTAGGGCGTCGAGATGTCGGGGCCAGCATCCAATATTGTGCTTGAGTCGGGGTGGTTGCCTAGCTAGAACGAGCACTGCGCCACGCGAATTCCTCTGTTTTGCTGACCGGTGATGAAGATGAAGAAAGGCCTCGACTCTTTCATAAACAGAGAAGTTTATCTGAGAGTTCTTGCACAAAAGTGTTTCTAAATGACGAGGTATTTAAACGGAGTGATTAAACGGGCCGGTGGTTAAACGGTGAGGCTACTTACACCATATGCGAAATGACAATTAAGATCGATTATCTCGCAGGCCAGACTTTCTTGGGCTATTTAGACGGTTCCGACAGGATTATACTTGCTTCCGTATCTTGAGCTTATTTGCTACTGAGAATGTGAAAGTTCCTGGGAACATGGAATAATTTGCTAAAACCAAGAGAAACGTAAAAGAATCGGACCGAAGTTGGGAATTACCAGGTGCCGAGTCGTTTTGGTCTAGACTTGGTAAGGGATATTATTGATTACCGCGCTCGCTTTACTGCCAAGAACAGGGGACCGCAAGCCAAATAACTAGAAAACCATATCACGTTTAAGAGTGTACGATTTATGCTATTCCCTCAAAGCAAGTCCCGCATCTCAATAAAGGTAGCCTTATGTCGCTTTTGTTTGATGTGAGAGAGAATTTGGGGAGTGTTTATGAAGTGGCTCTTTTGGCGGCTGGTGGGGTTGTGGTGGTAGGAGCTAAACCTGATAAGTATAGCACCGTCGCCGAAGCTTACAGATTTCTGAGCCCGCGTGCTATTACCATACCTCTACTCTCTTTCCAGTAACCAAGATTGCACCTGGTCCCTTGCAGAATCGATGTGGCCCTTCGCTATGCGAACGTTTTGAGTAGCTTGGCTCTGCGCAATATGTCGGACTTCCGGGTTGCCTTTTCACGCCTATAAGCATAGCATTCAGATGCGAAGCAGGGATTTGCACTTACTGTTATATATGTCGAGCTGCTCGACTATGTGTATGTACCATAACAGTTCGTCTGATGCTCTATCGAGCTCGAAGGCAGTCTCGATGAGATTTGGCCACTTCACAGTAGCAATAGTGCCGTCCCGAAAACCTTTGATAACTGCAGTCATACCGGCGCGTTTTATAACGGAATTTTGGGTCACAAGGTCGCGAAGTTCGTTTTCAACAGGGCTAAGCTGATGGTAACATGCTAACGGGAGGCAAATTGAATGCAAAAGGTAAAGGTAGAAGCGGTGTACAGACATTTTGTTGAAATTTTCTTTCCGTGATTGAGACAGGGAACAGCGTTTTGGAATATAAAACAAATTCTCCAACGCACGGACGACTCTTATAGGTCCCGAAGTGACCGATGGACTTAGGCTCGCACGCCTCGGCGCGTGCATCATGGGTCTTTTGTGCATGAAAATAGGCTTAGGGGGACGATGTGACGAAATTGGTTTTATTAACATAGAGATTCGTTTGGACAGCATCTGGGTGACAACCGGTGATGATGGGTGGCTTGGTATGCCCGAGTCGGACCCAATTCAATCGGTACGACCATTAGGTATTGTTTTGAAACATACTCGTTCTAGTGATACTAGAGGGGAAAATCTATCGATACAAATACGAGTGGCTGTGCCGGATATCCTGTGGCTGTGTAAGAAGCAGGTTCGATATGACAAACTAATACCATATTTTCAGTACAATATAAATTACAATACTACGGACCCTTGTTCCCTATCTACTAAACTCTCTTTCTATCGCGGGGTCCCATCTACAAGAGGTTAAAATTCTTCTACAATGGCCCGTTTTATTCAATACATGAATACGGCTGATATATTCGAATTAGAACAGTATTTGAGAGAGCTACCGCATATGCTTATATCTGATCTATTTCACTACTAATACTGTTATATCAAATCAGGTTTTTTTTAGGAGCTTATATTTTGTCTATAAATCAACGACTATGCAAGCAAAATATCGTTTATTAGGGAAGAAGCCGAAGCTAAGCCTGAAAACCACACGTGTTTCTGGAATTGGTATATACTTCTCCATATAGGTTCATTTCTTTTCTCCCAGAAAGCTTGCTGTAACGTTAATTGAACTAGAGGATTGTGAATAACAATCTAGAACAGGTCATAATGTCTTAAGGCACTGCGGTAGTGAATTTTTTTACTGCATATATATTTAACTTAACTATAATGAGCCCAGAAGCGGGAAGGTAAAAGCCAATTATCTATATAACTACCCTCATTTTAGAGACTACTGTTTATAAGCAAGGCCCTATATACTCTTATAAATTATAACCAAGTCAAATATAACTAGGGACCCATTAAATACTAACTGGACTTTTTAGAATAATATTCCTAAAAAACAATTAATAGTCCTATAAAATAAAGGCATTAGCTTATTTAAGTCTGCTTCCTATATTATAACCTTAAATTAAGTAAGACTATTAATAAGAAATTCTCTATTAATAAGTCCTAATTTATTGACTGTAACTATTTAATATATTTTAAAAATAAGTTATATAAAAAGGGCTTATTAAAAAATGCAGTATAGAAAAGAGACTTTTTTTAAAAAGGCTTTTAAATACTCTATATAATATAATACTAATATTCAGCTTATTATATAGATAAAAAAGACTGGCTAGGTCTTTATTTTAACTTTAAGTATAAAAGGTTGGCCGCTCTTTATAAAAGAGCTAGTATATTAATCTTATAAATACTTTTTAATGCCTATATATTAGCTATTAACTAACTAAGGTTTTAAACTACCCACTATTAATTTAAAAAATAATAGATAAATTTGCCAGGCAATATAAGAAATAGAGTATCTTTATTAATAAAGCTAATATCTTTAGTTTAGATAATAACAGCATTTAAAGCGTCGCAGAGATCAGTAATATAAATAGCCTAATATTATAATTTTTAAGATATAAGATCTATAGTAGAAAGTGCGTGCGAGACTTATTAAAGGAGAATTTACACCTTAGCAGATTATAGCAGATTATAATATGAATTTTTTCTTAGCCTGCTGTAATAGCTAAGTCAGATTTACAATAGATTATAATCTATAGTTCCTTAGGGAACTTATAGAGTTGCCTATATAGCATAGGGCATACTTACCAGGGCCCTTAATTTAATTGCATTAGGGGAATGTGTAGTATTTTAATCATTAAAGCCAGGTAAGCATGCACAAGACTTTAAGGATTCTTAGGAGGTTAATAACTTCCAGGACCGCTATCAGGTCCCTTAGGAGCATATTATTAAGGCCCTAGGAATATAGGTTACCTTCTTAGGAGTAATAAGTCTTCTAGAAGCGGGCAGGCCTTTTGCTAGGGGTTGGTTAACCTATACTTAGGGTAATAAGGGCCCTCTTAGGTTATTAGGTAAATACCCCTACTATATATGCTATACTCTTAGATCTATTTAATATAAGTGCTTCTCAAGTGGTTTATTTCATCAGACATGGCGAAGATCCACTAAAGATGGTCTTTTGTTTAATGTTAGTGAATACAGTCTATTAGTTGTGGATTTATAATTATTAATCTTCTTTCTAGATTTATCTATAGATACAGACTCTATAATACGCAACCTAAAAAGATTAACATTTCCCTATGGTTGCGATGCTTCTTAGAGAGAAAAGGGCTAAAGCTCCTAAGCGTCTACGGGCCTGTCCCTATATTTCTACTTTAAATAGTCAGAGCATATAATTAAAGCACGGGATACTGCTTATTAAACATAACTCTAGTGTCTGAATTAACTTCAGAAATGCATAACCTCCCGACCTATAATGTGTGTAGTACTAACCGCATTTATAGCAAAATCTTTGCTACTCAGATTATAGAGCCTATATATTAGGCTTACTATAGGGAGAATTTACTAAATAAATTTTAGGATTTACTAAGGCTTCAAAATTAGGGATTAATAGAATCTAGCCTTAGTAAATTTAAAACAACAGAATTTTTTACAGCATATAAGGGGTACCTTTAATAGCATTTAGTATTGCTCCTTATATTCTTATATAAGTAAGGCTGGTTCAGCCTCTAGCTTTTTCAGATATTTAAAATGCTATTTTCTTATCAGTCAGAGAGGCTTAAGCGGTTTTCTTTACTTAAGGGGCTCTCAGACTGCTTTAAGGTTTCCCTAAAATAATATTATTTAACTATACTTAGAGTTCTTTTAAAAAATAAATTGCAAATATAATTCTATAGCAATTTTTAAAAATCTCTAAGCCTTAATAATTAATAATTATCTTTAATAGTCTATTTCTTGTGTATAATAATTTATTATACTTATATAGTTATAGCTTGCTAAATAGGATTCTATATTAATATACTGCTTATTATAATAATATTATATATATACTGTAATATTTTAATTATAAGCTAAATAACTATAAGATTTTCTTTAAAAATATTAGCATCGGCAAGATTATTAGAGAATTTAGCCTTAACAATACTTAGGCTATAGAAATGCTTTAGAGATTTAATTATATTCCTAAGCCCAGCAAGATAGTTATCTATATAACTCTCTTCCTTATAGAATAATAAACTTCCGGCTTCTAATTAACTTTTTTATTTTTATTATGATTTAGGCGTATTTATTATAGTTAGATTTAGATATAGGCGGCCTTTTATAGAAGAAATCTCTAGATCTTTTAAAACGCTCTTTCTTTAATTTATACTAAATTACCTATAGTTATGCTAGCCGCTTTAGCTAATATAATCTTCCTTAAAGATATTAAAGACTCTTATTATTCTAGGTCTATCTAGGCTAATTATAAAGAGAGTATTACTGACTTAAAAGGAAGGATAAAATATAATCTCCTTAGGGTAATTAAGATAGTTATCAGCGGTTAGTATATCCTTATAATAGATATTAGGCGAAATAGATTAAAAAAGCTAGCTAATATTTAATGCTAAGGATATTATATTAAATTAAAAAGTATCGAAATAAATATTAAGAATATAACCTATTAAAATTCTTTATCCCGCGCTTTTCTTATAGTACATTATTCTTTAAACTATAATAACCTCCTTCTTAAGTTTCTTTTAAGGCAATGAGTTGCTCTGCTATAATAATAATCTAAGTATTAAAGCTAATTAAAGAGCTTTTTTATAGCAAATTTAGTATTAGCTACTAAAAGTTTTAATAATCTAATATAACTATAATAAATAAGAGGATATATAAATAGAGGGGAGTTAAAGTAGATAGAATATATATAAAAAACTGCAAATAAGGTATCTATAGGGATATTTATATTTCAGGCTATATTATCTCCTTATACCCATCTTATTATAAAGTAAAATATTAATAGATTAATATAGCTTTTAGCTTTATAGTTAAAACAATATAGTGGTTAGACTATATATTTTATCAGTATAGCTCCTTAATCTTTTATTATAGCTAATTAAAAAGCTGTTTAATCTTATAATAGATTAACTAGAGGAAGTGTTCCTAGGAGCACTAGCATAATATAGACTATGTAGCAGGCTTCTTACTTGGAAGTTTACTTGGGCCAATAGTTTTTGTCTCCACTTTGTATAGCAAAGCATATTAATGCAGTTGAGGTCTAAGGTATCCACTGCGTAAGCGAATCCTCCTCTTCCTGAGTCAATTTATGGCCGTTGGCGCGCATATTACCTTAGTAAGTGACGCCTTTTAGCCGGTCGCGGAGCGTAGACCAAGGGATTTGAAATGTAGTGGCAGCTTAACGAATAGACGGTATTTCATGATTTTTAATAGCTTTGATAGCTAGTAGAACCCTACCCTCTTGCCCTGATGATTTTTGACGTTTTTCAGTGCGTTTTAGTGGCATAGTGGCTGTTGGAAGGTAGTAGGTGTAAAAACGCGACGCGTTTTGGAGAGGGGGCTAACCGGGTAGGCGGGCCGGGTAGGAATTACGTTATTCTGTGCTTTGCCCCTTTTTAAGGGAAAATAAGCACTTATATTAATATAATTAGAATTAGTTTTTCTTGGCTGAGAGCCTAAGCGGCCGAAAGAATTTCAGATAAAATTTATAAATTTTTGGATTTAGTGCTCTATAAAGGCGCTAGCATATCCTGATTAATCTCTATAATAGACTTTAAATCCTTATTCCTAGCGGGAGGGAGGTATAGAGTTATTATATTTAAAAAGTTGTGATAGAAGTAATAAATAAGTGTTAGCCTTGCATATAGGTCTGTTTACCGGGATATTACTGTATTTAAAAAGTTGTGATAGAAGTGGCAAATAAGCATTAGCCTTGCATGTGGGTCTGTTTACCGGGATGTTACTGTATTTGAAAGGTTGTGATAGAAGTGGCAAATAAGTGTTGGCCTTGCATGTGGGTCTGTTTACCGGGATATTATTGTACTGTATATGGAAAGTTGTAATAGAAGTAACAAATAAGCGCTATAGTAGTAATTGACCAAGCCTGTATCGGAGGGGGTAAGAAAGTTTTTCATTGGTGATTATATCAGAGTTTCTGAGGTCCAGGCTCTGGGATTGAGAAGTTGCCCGCATGTATGTGCCGTTACTTAATATAGTACAGCAATTGCAGTAGTTAAAGTTTAACGGGTACGTCATCTTTACAACGCGTATATTACCGACCCAGGAATCTGGGTATGGTTAGTATAGAAATCGATGACTTAAAGACCTTGCAATAACTCGTCTTTTCCTCTTGCCCATTCCTCATAGTGTGCGGAGTTTCCCGTATATACTTGGACGCTTTACCCCATAGCTGCAATTCGTTGGCAAGCTTGGGACCGTCAGAACCATGGCCACAGCTGAATTTGCTGCCGCTGAAATAGGTGGCTCGCAATGCTGTAATCTTGGAGATCATAATCAGCGTTGCCGGATAGTCATCATCGGTCCGTCTCCAGATTCCCCCGGAATTATATGTACTTGGCCATCTGACATAGTGCAGGAGGGGGTTCAGCGGCATTCGCTGCCGCTGCCGCGGCCGCACCGTTCGCAGCCTCTGTTAAGATTGTGAACGAAGGCTTACCCATGGGCGGCACATGTGTGAATGTTGGCTGCGGTGAGTAAAGATTGGTGATAAATACGTATTTTTGTGTTTATATTGCTAATGTGAATTATCTTGACCAGTTCCTTCGAAATTCCTCATCCAAGCGGCTCATATAAGCAGCCCCCACAATTCCAGTCCGCCATATCATGGGTTTTCGAACGTCTCTGAGAGAGTCAGCGACTTCGCTGCGTTGACGGCACAGAATCGTCAGCTTGTGGAAGATCTCCGTGAGAAGAAGTATGCCAATGTTATTGCCGGATTAAATAATGTTGAGTATGTCCAGGGGCTGGGAAGGATTCTCAGGAAAGGCGATTATTTCTCTATCGCTGTCGATTGCGGCAGCACTGAGGAAACGCCTTCCCGGGAACTACTTGCGGATCGAGTGATCTTAGCAACAGGTGTGCGCACCAGTCTTCCGAAGCAGTTGCTCCCGGATTTGGAGAAAGTGCCTTATCTCACAAACGAAACCGCTTATTTCGAGCCTATCCTACCAGAATCTCTCATCGTGCTCGGTGGAGGCTATGTTGCGGTGGAAGCGGCCCAGATGTTCGCACGACTTGGCTCTCGGGTGACGCTTCTGCAGCGATCGTCACACATTCTCTCCGACACTGATGAAGATATAGGGCTGGCTTTAGCTGGCTATTTGCGAGAGGAAGGGATAGACGTGGTTGTGGGCCTCGAGATATTGTCTGCAACTCTTGATGATGGCAAGGTTATGGTAACGGCGAGACTGACCAACGGAAAGCCCTGGACTTTTAAAGCATCAAAGATCTTCGTTGCCACTGGTCGCCGTGCGAAGACGGAAAACGTGTCAGAGGTACCGCTGCGGCTGTCTGATTCGCCGCATGGCGGATTTGTTGTTTCAGATACCTTACAGACTTCCATTTCCGGGGTTTATGCCGCAGGGGACTGTGTTGCTGGCTCGCCGCAATATGTGTACACGGCAGCAGCGGAAGGCAAACTTGCAGCGCTCAATGCTCTGGCCTCGTTTAATGGCCAAAAGGAGTCGCCGATCGATTATTCAGTCGTCCCTTGGGTTGTTTTTTCATCTCCAGCTGTCGCTGGAGTCGGTCTCGATGTCCATGAAGCCCGAGCCAAAGGCATCGACGCCGAAACTTCCATTGTCCCCCTCTCCCTCCTTCCTCGGGCCATCGTGCAACAGGAAACACGTGGGTTTGTGACCTTGATTCGGAATAAGCAGGACGACACCATTATTGGAGCGCGTATCTTGGCAGAAGAAGGCGGAGAGCTCGCTATGGAAGCGTCCCTTTGTGTTCAACATAAGATCAAGGCCCAGGAACTGGCGGGGATGTTCCATCCGTATTTGACGTGGAATGAAGCCTGGAAATTAGCAGCTTTGGGATTTTCAAAGGACGTCAACCAGCTTAGCTGTTGTGCAACATAGCCGCGCATGCCACGGCTCTAACTAGCTGTCTTGTCTAGAATATGGAATTTTATTACTTAGAAGAGTCGGAGATCTCCGAAGAGGGATGCGAGGGTCGGTAGGCAGTCCGGAAAAGCTCATCGTGGAGTGCAGAGTACCCGATATAGTTTTCAGTGGTGCAGCATTGATTTAGCCCCTTCTATGGAGCATGAGCAGGATCAGTCACGTAAGAGGGCTCCGCCAAGGTGCAGTGGGTGTGGGGAGACAGGGCATAAGATCAATCGTTGTAAGAATCGCTAGTTTGAGACAAATAGATACGTTTTTGGTAGAGATATCCTGATTCAAAAATTCCTGATGGTGGTGGGTGTCTGGTTTAACCGGGTGTCCGGCTTAACCGGGAATTACGGTATGTGCTCGCAGTAAAAGCTGAAGTGAGCATCACATTTCTCCCCCCTGTCGTGTCTGTTCGTCCGCGGACACATAAAGACCTACTTTTTTCCGACAAAAGATGCTGTTCCACACACAACATAGGGGTGATCATAAGACTCACTGTAATCACGGTGAATTTTTTCCCTTAACATCGAAAGTTGAGGAACATGCCTCTATGCAGCGTACGAACTGCTGAGAGGAATTTTTCCCCCTTGTAAGTCAAAAGGATTTGTGCCTTTACCTATTAATTCTTTGACTCACCTTGAGACAGATGGTTCTCGGTGTCCCTAGGCACAGGGATGGCTTCTATGCTTCTGAGCCAGCTACCTTATAACACCCGTGGCGTCCAATTGGCATCTCTTGCATTGTTCGTCTTAAACATTCTGGTTTTCGTTACCATATTGGCTATCAGTATGTGTCGGTACATTCTCTACCTACAAGCATTACGGGGCGTCATCGAAGACCGTGAGCAAATACTGTCCTTGCCACTTATACCCATGGCATATTCAACGTTAATAAATATGATAACATTTGTGCTTGTTCCCTTATGTATTTCTCGTGTAGTAATAGGTGGAAATTTAATTGGTTCAGGGTATTAGAAAGAAGCAGTGTCGGAGAGATTAGCCAGCGGTAGTTGTGGGAAAAAGGCCGCCTAAAAGGCTTTTGCTTTCTGATCGATTATCTCTATAAGTTTGCCCGGTCTTTCAGGATCTTGGACTTTTAATAAGGGGGTGAGACCTTTCTTATATACTTTATTGCGGTTTCTTGCCTATTTAGTAAGACGCCATATATCCCGCGGGCTATCTTTAATAACCTGTTAGACTCGGCGCTGGTGCGCTCTAGATAGTACCTTTTTAATAAGGCATACCTTATTGTTGCGTGCCTAGGTATATCGCATCTAATTATAGGGGTCTTTTATCTTTATATATTTATATTGTAGGCGACAGACTTCCTAAATGGCGGCCTTGCATTTATTATTAAAATCTAGGTTTAACTATGCTGATAGGTTCGCCTATAGGGTAGAGAAGTTAATTGCTAATTAAACGATATCTAGCAGCATCTAGCATTAATACTTAATTTATATTAGGTCTGCTTGGGAGAGATCTCTTGCTTATAGCCCTTCTTCAATTTTCTGAATAAGCTTAGCGTTGTTAGTTACCTTCTTATTTCTCCATTTCTCCTATATATGTATTGGCGTTTTAATATTAAGTACTATTCTGACAGGGAAATAGTTAGATAAATATTTAATATTATCCGTTTACTTGCAGCGGATTAGTCTATTAAAGAGACTTAAACTAATAAAGATAAGTTTAATAACTGAAGACTAATTGTTTTAAGTCTAGGTGGCTTTTCCTTTCTTAGTAATTAAGTTAAGATTATGCTTATCTATAATCTCCAGCAGTTGTTCAGCTTTATTGTTAACCCTAGTGCCTACTCCTCCCTATACTAGGTAATATATATTTATATCTCCTACTACTATATGCTCGGCTAAGAGTCGCTTAGCCAGTTTACTTTTTAGCTGAGCTAAAGTATTGCTGCCAGATCTATTATATATATTATACATAAATAGGTCTATCTAGTCCTTGCCTATATAAGCCTTTCTAAGCTTTAATAGCTGGTAATCCCGCGAGATGACCTGGCATAACCAAGTAGCAGGGTCGATCTTTTTTGACACGAAGAGGCATATACTAGGTTGAGGAGGATCTGGGTCTGGACCTTGTCCCTGGCCTTGGTTCTGTCCCCTCAGGGTTTGCTTTGCTGGGTAGAGTAGCTGGAATGTTACTGCTGCTAGTTGATGGGTTATATGTTGCTCTTTATTTTTCCACAGTTCCTATACGGCAATAACATCTATCTTTAGGACTTTCTTGTCCCTAAGAAATGTGGCTATTACCAGCTATGCTTTGTGTGCGTTGTAGTGAATATTTTAAACGACTTTATTAGTGAAGTTGTTTGTCATTGCTCTGCTTGCTGGTCTTATGCTATACTTCATTATTTGGGTCTTCAATTATAGGTGTATCAGTTATGATCGCGGGAGGGGAGGATCTGATAAGTATTGCCCGTTGTTGGTTATACTTAAGAGTGATGAGTTTCCGGTATTCTGGGCTCTCTGGGTCTAGCTCCTCTAGATTAGGCTCTGGTATAGTGTCAATATTGTTTATCGTTGTAATATCATTGGTAAACTGGGTGAGCTCATCTTTGAAATTATCCTGTTGTAGGATGTTATATAGGAGGGCACTCTGTGTGAGCTGGATGTTGAACCAGTTACTGTCATCCAGTTGTTCGTCCATGGTATCCTCCGGCTCTCCTACTCGGCGTTTCTTAGACACTATGTTGTCTTGTTCGACTCTCTGAGAAGAAGCAGCCTGGGATCTTGTTGACCGCTGCCTTGCCCGAACCACCGAGGATGTGGGTGCTTGTTCCTTGGGCCTAGTTCTGGAACCCTTCGGGCGACCGGGGCCCCTTCTCGGCTTTGTTGGCTCAACCTGCACTTGAGGAGCCCTCTCCGACCTCTCTGGTTCGAGTTCCAGATCTATTATGATCGGTGGTGGGGAGCCAGCAAGATGATACACCAAACTCAAGAACAAAAAGCCATGGTTGGTCCTTATGTCGCCGTGCTAGTAACTTCAGTGATACGTCGTTCCCCTACCCCCGACAGTCTGTCGGGCTCCGACACCACTTCCAGAAACAAGTTTTCATATATCGCCCCGGTCATTGTGATCTCTGTTGGACTAACTGCGATACTTCTCTTGAATATTTATTTTCGTCGTCGTTCTTCTCAGCGGGTGACGCCTGTTAATACCCTTCCTGCAAACCAACAACAAAGCCGCGAGACGAATACAGCAAAAGCACTTCTAGATACCTTTCCCATTGTTAAGTTCAGAGGCCCGCATGATAGCAGTCTGGAAATGGGCGATTTGGCCGCCGTTTCTCGTGAAAGCAGAGAATTAAGGGCACCAGCTAATCAAGGGCCGCAGCCGTGGGAAACGTCAGAACAAAATACTACGGTGGATGAAAGAGACCTTGCTCAAGTACATCGGAAAACTTCAAATGTATCACCCACACTTACTCTCGCTTATGCGACGGCAAATGTTGCTTGCTCAATCTGTACCGAGAACTTTACCGACGGCCAGAATGTGAGAATGTTGCCGTGTGGTCATCAGTTCCATCCACGGTGTATTGACCCATGGCTTCTCAATCGGTCATATACATGTTCTATGTGCCGCATTGATCTCAGTCGGTCTGATCTTGTCTAGTTGGATAGCTCTAGGGCAAATAATGGGCAACCAAGCTAGGGTTATGACACCTGGATTGCAAAGATAATGCATTGTGACTGAAAATCATGTAAAGGATTTCTAGGAGAACTTTGAAATGTCTACGTCAAACTTTGTTAGAATAATCTTCTGTCTCTCGCAGTATGACTAGAATTTCTGCCAGAGGGTCCAGGCTGAATGATTTTTAAAAAATGTTGAACCTTATACTCTGATTTATTCCCCAGGCTCTTCACGAACTTCAGTTGTATATAGCACCCTGGCCAATGTATCCAAGATAGCAATAATTCAGAACATACGATATCCCGGACGGGGTATCCCAGACAACAATGGTGTACTAATCACATGCTTAACCTTAAAATATCCAGCCTCAAGCGACGGTTGCAAAAAAAAAAGAAACACAACCAAAGAGCTCGGTGTTCAAAGCGGCTCCCGCCAACCCAAATATCATTTAGGATATAGCACAGTAAGGTGGACATGGACCTTAGCTATACTTTGATGTTGTTGACAGTTGGGTGAGTGTTAACGTATTTCACTACCGAGCGGCCACTACCCCCGAGTGGCCACCTCACCTAAAACGCGTCAATTAATTTACCCCCTTCTTCTTCAACCACCTACCATGCCACCAATTCGCTCCCGAAGCTCTAGAAATTCAATAGAGCAAGAGGGTAGGATCTTATTAGCTATCCAGGCTTTTAAAAATAGAGATATCGGCTCTATTGCTCTTGCAGCAAGCACTTTCAATGTCCCGCGTACAACTCTCCGCCGCCGAATTGATGGAGTACAAAACCGCGCGAATTCTCGCGCAAATTCGTCTAAATTAACAGAAATTGAAGAGGAATCGCTTGAAAAATGGATTCTTTCTATGGATCTACGTGGAGCAGCCCCCCGGCCCTCTATGGTACGAGAAATGGCGGATCTTCTTCTTCAAAAGCGTGGAACTACCCCGGTTCTTTCGGTCGGCCAAAATTGGGTTACGAAATTCGTTAAACGACGTCCTCTCCTCTCCTCCCGATTCTCGAAACGGTATAACTACGAGCGTGCGAAATGTGAAGACCCTAAAATCATTAGGGAGTGGTTTGATTTAGTTCAAAAGACAATCCTTCAATTTGGAATCGACCCCGACGATATCTATAACTTTGACGAGACTGGTTTCGCGATGGGATTGACTGCAACTACGAAGGTTATTACGCGGAGTGAATACTACGGTCGGAGGCCTGTTTTACAACCTGGAAATCGTGAATGGGTGACAGTGGTTGAATGTACGAATGCTTCTGGATGGGCCCTTCCTCCGTGTATGATTTTTAAAGGCAAAGTCTTTATTAAATCATGGTTTGACGGCCTTCCGGAGGACTGGCGCTTCGAAGTTAGTCCTAATGGCTGGACCTCTGATGAGATTGGACTTCGTTGGCTTGAGAAGCTCTTTATTCCTAGTACTTTACGTACGAAGGGGGTATACCGGCTTTTGATTCTTGATGGTCATGGCAGTCATTTAACGCCTAAATTTGATGCAATTTGCGAGCAAAATAAGGTGATACCAATTTGTATGCCAGCGCATTCATCTCATCTTTTACAACCTCTAGATGTGGGTTGTTTTGCAGTACTAAAACGATCGTACGGTCGGATGGTTGAAACTAAGATGCGGAACGGGATCAACCATATTGACAAACTTGACTTCCTTGAAGCATACCCTCTCGCACGAATTGAAGCTTTTAAATCGGAGACAATCAAGAATAGCTTCTTAGCTACCGGTTTAGTACCGTTTGAACCCGATCGGGTTATTTCGAAGCTCAATATCCGGCTTCGAACCCCAACCCCCCCCCCTAGCCGGGGGAGCGAATCAAGCCGAAATTTTACACCAAAAACACCAGCTACAGAGAAAGATCTACGTCGGCAGGCTTCGTCAATTAAAGCTCTACTTCGTACAAGATCTCGAAGCCCGCCTAGCCCGTCAGATCGTGCATTAAACCAGCTTGTGAAAGGCTTCCGTCTTACAATGCAAGGTGCTATCCTACTCGCCAAAGAAAACAAGGAATTACGCGCCGCCAACGAGAAGCAGAAGCAAAAGCGTACTAGATCCCGGAGGCAGATACCTGCCGAAGAAGGCCTTTCAGTTCAAGAAGCCTCTGCATTAATTATGCAGCAACAAGAAGCAATTGAAGCACCTCTCCCCGGCCCCGGCATGCCTGGAGAATCGACTGTTCAGTCACGTACGCGGCCCCCCCGGGGGTGTGGAATATGCAGATTGCCAGGGCATAGGAGAGAAACATGTCCAGATAGACCAGTTAGTTAGTTGATTTAATTTAATGGCGTTTTGGTTGAGATAAATGCATTTGAAATTTATACATTTGGGTGGGGTGGCCACTCGGGGGTAGTGGCCGCTCGGTAGTGAAATACGTTAAGTCATTCTCTTGTCTAAGATTTTTGAAACTTCCTCCAGAGGCCGGCTCTTCGTCTCTGGAAAGAGAAAGTAAAAAAATACCAAGAAAATCATGAGACAGCCTACATTGACGCAATGGTAGTTCCAATAGAGCACAAAAAAAGCCACCTGGTTGATATATTGGACGAAAAATCCAGCTACAGCATCGATTGAAAACATAGTCGCAAGGCCCTTTGCGTTGTAATATGATGCTCGTGCAACTCTGGAATAAAGCCGAAACATCGGAAATAATTCCACCACTGTCTATACAAAGAACCAAGTTGATTGTAAATCAACCTATATTGTCGTTTTTTATCCCTCAGAAATAAGATTGAACTTGTCACAGAAGGTGGCAGGTGGCATGTTTATGTACATGCGGCTGCTGATCTAGCATTTCAACTCATTTCTGATAGAAAGAGCCACTTAGTTCTTGTTAAGACAGAGATCGGTAGTCTGAGGGTTTGATCCCCCTAACTTGTTAGATTAAGTTTAAACTGACTTGAACACTTAATAGAGAGACAACTCTTTCTTGGCAAAAACGTTTTCTTGAAATATCTCGCCAATCAGAGGTACCAGGATCTCGTGAATTAGTTCATCTTAGTTGTAACTTTACGCGCTGCCATTTGATACCCATTTTGGGGGTGAAATGGCGGTGATGGTTGCGACTGGTGCAAACGCACAGAAATTGTTCCTGGACGGGAGAGGAATACCGAAAACTATGGTACCCGGTGGCCCACCTATATTGATGGACGACATCGCAGAAGGAGCTCACCGGGTGCTAAACTATATTGAGAATAATAGCACAGAGGACCGATATGTCACTGGATATATTCGGGCTGTCCGCCAATATGCACTCAACGCCTAACGGGGCGATGGCATGGAGATGGCCAAGGTGCTTAAAATGTTGGCCGAGATTAACGCCGATATTAAACGCCTGAACCAACGTATCAAAACTGTTGAGAAAACAACGAGCACACTATTGATGTCTTTGTCTACCCTTCCTGCTGACTCCGCGGCAGTGTGGCGAGCCTTTTGAGCTAAAGACTGGCAGCGTGGCTTGGCCCAGGCTGAGACGCCCAACCTCTGTAGCTACGGCACATCGCCTCCGGGGGTCCTGGAAATTGAGCTTTGCGAGGACAGGGAATTGATTGTGAAAGTTGGACCCAACTGTGTATAGGTCTGCGCGTTATCACCTAAGGAGCTTGTGGAACGGATAGAGCGACAAAAAGCAATGGTTACTAGACAGAAGAACTCCACGGCCCTAGCTGGAGGGGCTAGCTTTGTTGTAGCCCGGAAACTGCCATCAGGCGATGTGGTAATGATAGCAAATAGTGCGGCAGGGGCTAAGACCCTCCGCAGGCACACCGAGTGGCTAAGGGCGTTCGGGCCAGGCTCGATCGTCCAGGAACCGTTATGGGGGGTTGTGGCGTATAATGTTCCGGTGAAATCGATGAAGCTTACCCCGGAGACGATGACCAACGTCGCAGCTGAACTGCTCGCGCAGAATAACTGGGGAGAAGCTGCCAGGATTCAGTATGTCGGCTGGCTGAAGCGGCCGGGGGCACGAGCAGAGGGCTCGGTCCTAATCGAGTTCACTAGCCCAATAGTGGCTAACCACGCGATCGTCACTGGTGTCGTCTATGGTAAGCAAATCCATCATGCTGTGCGTTTCTGCTGGGAAGGGCGGACAAAGCTATGCAGGAAATGCTAAAAGCCGGGGCATATCCAGTCACACTGTTCCAATGACTTCAAATGTGGCCACTGCGCCGATGGGCACCCGACCTGGGAGTGCCCATCGACGAAGGGGCAAAAAATACTAGTCAAATGTGCCAACTGCGATGGAGATCACCGCCCGACTAGTCAAGAATGTCCAGTAAAGAGGGCAGCCATGACCGAGGCTAAACGAGCATTAGCTGATTCATCTACCTACCACCGCGTGCCTCTGCATTTCCGACATACCGTGGATGGCAGCAAGGCGGCACCTCCGACTACTGGACTTGGAATATCAATGCCTGCACCGGAGAGACAGGCGGAAGACGAGTCACCCCAGCAACCCCAACCGGTTGCAATCGACCTGGAAGCGGAACCACATGCTATGGGGGCGCCGGCTAAACAGCATATTGAACTAACAAAGACCAGGAGAGGTCTGGGCCGCCCGAAAGGTTCAAGAGTCAAGCCCAAAGATCAGGGACTGCAACCGAGAGACAACATAGCCCCAACGGCAAATCAACGATCAACAAGATTGCAGGCCGCCTCTCAGAAAGCGGCCCAGGAACACACCATTTCTAAAAAGCGCCGCGTGGGCGAACCCGAGGACACTATGGATGAACAGCCAGACGATAGCAACTGGCTCGATATCTGTCTCCCTCAGGCAGAGCTATTACAGGACTACCCGCAACAAGATCGGTCCGAAATTGAGCTTACTCAGTTCACTAACGAAGTTACCACAATCAATAATACTAACAGTCCCGAGCCTAGTCTTTAGAACCTGGATCTAGATAGTCCGGAGTACCGAAAACTAATTACTTTAAAGTATAACTGCCTATAATCCATACCAGTCAGATTATCTCCTCCAGTGTTTATAACTGACGCACCTATAATTAAAGATTAAAATAATGAAATATAGCATAAAACAAGCGAGCATAGCGATAATGAACAAACATATTAATAAGATTATTCTAATTGCTCTAGTATAATGTACATAAATTGTAGTTAGTAATAGCCACTTTTCTTAGGGACACAGTGGTCCTTGCGGCGGATATTATTGTAATTTAAGAGCTATGGCGAAATGAACAGCAACATATAACCTACTAGCCAGCGACTATAGTATTTCAGCTAGTATACCCAGCAAAACAAATCTCCTAAAACTAGAATTAACCTCAGGATCCGGAATCAGACCTATCTCCGCCAGGAATATGCTTCTTCGTCTTGAGGAAGATTGATCTTAGCACCTGGTCGTGCTAACTGATAATGCAGGATTATCAGCTACTAAAGCTGAGAAAAGCTTATATTAGCAAGGATTAGATAGACCTATTTATATATAATATATATAACAGGCCAGGCAGCGATATACTGGTCCAGCTAAAAAATAAATTAGCTAGGCGACTGCTAGCTGAACATATTATAATAGGAGATATAAATACTCACCACTTAATATAGGAAGGACTAGGAGTTAGGGCCAATAATAAAGCTAAGCAACTGCTATAGATTATAGATAAGCAAGATCTAGAGCTAACTATTGAGCAAGAGAAAGCTATCTAAATATAAAACAATCAATTATTGGTAATTAACCTTATATTTATTAGTTTAAGCCTTAATAGCAGATTTATCTGCTGTAAGCAAGCGGATAATATTAAGCAAGTATTAGACTATTTTCCTATTAGAATGGCAATTAATATTAAAACACCAATTGCTATATAATAAAGGTAGAGAAACTAGAAAGCTACTAACAACAAGAAACTAGTCAGAAAAATTGAAGAGGGCCTACAGACTATGGAACAATCTGTGGCCAATTACCTGCAAATTAAAGCGCAATGTTAAAGACTGATAGAAGTTGTCCAGTCAGCTATTAACTTCTTAACTCTATAGGCGAACCCATTAGTATGGTTAAACCTAGATTTTAATAATAAGTATAAGGCTGTAGTAAAAGATATCCGCCAACTATAATATATCTACATAAGAATAAAGGACCCTTATAATTGGATATAGTATTCAGAGGCATATAATAAGAAGACACGCTTAATTAAGAAAACGCTCTCTAGAGTATACTAACGCCAAGTCTAGCAAGTCATTGAAGACGGGCTATAAGATATGTGGCGCCTTATAAAATAGGTAAGACACCGAGATAGGGCATATAAAAAAGGTCTTACTCCTTCCTTAAAAATTTAAGACCCTTAACAGCTGGGTAAGATTGCAGAAATAGTTGATTAAAAAGCAGAGGCTTTTTAAGCGGCCTTCTTTCTACAACCACTATAAGCAGACCTCTCTAATACTTCGTCCTATTGATATTTATAACTGATCGATTTCCCTCCAATTACAGCATAAGAGATACACGATGTAGTAAGGACAGTGAAAGCAGGGAAGGCACTAGGAGATGACAGGATCCTAAACTCCCTGTGGCATAAGCTGATCGGGATCCCTAGTGTTTTGCAGGTGCTGGAATATATGTTTAATGCGTGCATCCGCACTAGCTATAATCTAACATATTTTCAGAGGTTAATCACGGTAGTCCTCTGAAAACAAGGCAAAAGTAACTATTAACTGGCAAAGTCCTACAGGCCAGTTGCGCTTCTCAACACTCTGGGAAAGTTTCTCGAAGCGGTAATTGCACGACGAATTAGCTATGCTGTTAAAACCGAAGGACTGCTTCCAAAGACTTATCTCGGCGGCCGACGAGGCATTTCCACAGACTATGCTATTCATATTATGGTCGACCGAATCAAACTGGCCTGGGGAAAGGGCAAACCTGTAGTGTCCCTACTAATGCTGGACGTGTCTGGAGCATACGACAATGTATCCCACGACAGATTACTCCATAACCTCAAAAAGCGAAAACTGGGGCAGCTCGTCCCCTGGGTTAAAGCCTTCCTGTCGAACCGGAGCACAAAAAAAAAAAAAAAAAATTCAAAAAATTCGAATGCCGGAAGGCACATCCGATCCGTTTCCGACACACACCCACAGGCATTCCACAAGGGTCGCCAATTTCCCCGATCCTCTATTTGGTCTACAATGCAGACCTGATTAAGAACTATAGAAATAGAGTAATAAGCAGCGGCTGGGTAGATAATGCCTATTTTATAATTAAAGGAGATAGCGAGCGGGAGACTATAAGAAAGCTCTGTTTAGTATGCTAAAAGGCCGACTAATAGGCTAAGACGCACGCTTCGGTCTTTAATCTGAAGAAATATGCGCTCGTGCATTTTATAAATATAAAAGAGGTCGACCCAAAATATACGGCGCTGAATTTATAAGGTTATATAGTTATAATAATAAGAACGGCCGAGCGGTACTTAAGCTATTAGCTCGATCTAAGCCTAGACTTCCAACACTACCGCGAGACAGCAGTTACAAAGGCAGGCATATCCCTCCAGGTATTATAGAGCCTGGCCGGCTCTACCTGGGGAAACTCCTTAGCCGCTATGCGCAGGATTTATTAAGCCATAATTATCCCCCAGTTGCTCTTTGGAGTATCAGCTTAGTACTAGCCTATATTAGCTAATAAAGTGAAAATACGCATAATCAGACAACTATTTATAGTTATATAGAAATATGTAGTATACCTAATTAATAGGGCATTTAGGACGACAGCAGTAGAAGTATTAAACATAGAATTATACCTACTACTAATTATAATCACTATAAATAAGATAGTTAAAGAAACAGCCCTATAGCTATAAACAGGACCTATATTTACTATACCACCAATAATACTATAATGTTAACTAGTGGATAAGAGAGAATAGTCTAGATAATTACTAATAAAGGCGCAAGCCTAAAAAATAAGCAGATGCCTTATAATTCCCTTAGAAACTTTAGCCAGAGACTAGGAGAGTCGGAAGGTATTTATTTAGGCACTATAATAAGCGCCGCCGGAGGTAACTATTAAAGACAGAGAGACCGCTATAAATTATTATAATAAGACCTTACTTAAAAACTTGCAAGAAAGACCCTTAATACTCTATACTAACAGTAATAGAATTAAAGGAAAGATTAATACAGCGGCGATAGTTAATCCAAAGAAAAAATATGCTTATAACTAGATAGGCAATAAGGAAATATCTATAGTATATGCCGCGGAGCTCCGCGCTATTAAGATAGCCCTTGCCTTAGCCTTGCAGAGCACAAAGCTATAGACTGTACTAGCAAAGAATAGGCTCATTATTTTTACAGACAGCTAAGCTATATTAAAGGCACTCTGCCGACCGCGAATATTGTTAGGGCAAGCCTATCTGGCTGGGTATCTAGACCTGATCTAGCGACTTGCATGCACCAGAGGCATCTAGACAGAGCTTAGGTAAATCCCTGCCCACCAGAGAGTAACCGGTAATAAAATAGTCAACCAACATATAAAAGAAGCAGCCCAGGAACCTAAAGGATTACAGAATTCTTATAATCAGAATATCCGCCTTACAGCTGCGGTAAAGCGCTGTATCTACAGTGAGGTAAAGATTAAGTAAGAAAAATTATAGACTAGCAAAAAAACTAGTCGGCCGATAAAATATTTAATTAAAGTATTAACCCAGAAGACCCTAGCATATTAGTTAGGCCTAAGGAAAGCAATAACATCAATTCTGATACAGTTTTGTACTAGACAAATTGGGCTATATATATATCTAAATTATATTAACAGATATAATTTAGCGCAGTGTAATTATAATTTAGGAAATTAGATAGTTAATTACATTTTGCTGGAGTGCCTGTTACTTTAAAATAAATATAAATAGATAAGAAATGCCTTATCTAACTGTAGAGTCACTCTTTAATGCGATAATCTTCTAGAGCGACTAGAGGCTTGCATAATTATAGCGGAATTTGTGGTTAGAACAGGTCTTTTAGACTAGTTTTAGGCAGTCGACCCAGTCGCTCTTAGTATAGGAGAAGGCGATGAGATAGAATAACCCCTCAGAATAGTGTAATAGAGGAAGAAGGATAGCGCCTGCTAGGAGTGCAGTGCTAGGTCTACTGCACTCCCTTAATCCAAGCAAATATGTAAGCGGAGGCCAACAGCAGAAATAATAAAGCAGGAGAGAGTAAGAGAGTAATGCGAAGGCGTAGTGTATATATATCTAGCGAGATAGATCCCGGATTGTGGGAGGATCCAGGGGGAGGATATTTGTTTTAGGTTAACTGATTTTGTTTATTGTGTTTGCATATCTGCATTTCCTTTATCTTATTTGCATTTGTTCAAGGATAACTAATAAGGAGCTCGCTCTATAAGCCCCATTAGACAGTTTATCTAGTAAGCAGGCGCCTACTCTATAGCTATCGGCAGGCCCGACAGCACTCCCGCATAGCAGCATATATTTAGAGTAAGCTACATCGGGCAAATAAATTCATCATCATTATCATCATTGAACACTTAATAATGGCAGACTACCCAATCTCTATATATGTTTCCCCGCTTTGGCTCAGAATATCTGCCAGGAACGGTGTCTTGAGGATTTTCTTATTAGCCAACATTATCAATATCCCCTAAAACGTAATAAGCCAAAGCAAAAGAGTGATGCCTGATAGAACCTAGCATAAATAAAACAAAGTTAGTGAAAATTTTGTTGAAGACAGTCCGCGTGGATAAGTAACTTGCCGTTGCAAAGATCTTAAAGAATGTTGACGACAGTTGATTACTGATCATTATTGTTGCCATAGCTAACGTACCTACCAAGTTCAGAATATGCCGCTTTAGTGCACGAAAAAAATTCAGAAAGGATATAATACCCGTCGGGAATGTTGTACTCCACCAATTGATGTTAAAAGAGACCTTTGCTCTGACTGCTGATGTTGCTGCAAAAAGGAACCACCACAACCCACACGCCCAGAAAGGGAGGCCGGCTACCAATCCTATCTTGGAGAAAATTTCCTCCGGACCTGGTGCCCTAGAAGGTCTGAGTCTCACGCTGCATAATGGATAAGCTTATATGCATCCTACCAGGAGTAACTGATCACCAATTTCTCCCAATCTCATAAGCCTAAAAACACCATTAGTGAAATGTATCGTATGTATTTGGCTGTGAGTTGAGGTATACCCAAACGCGCCGTATCCAAATGGACCTGTTGGCAGAGCTAACGACACTATATGCTCCTTTGGTGGCATATTGGTCTCCAGTATGTTGTAGACATAGAGTATAATGAAAGCCATGGCTGGAAGTATGCCAATACTCCACAGGATATAGCTTGTGATAGCCGTCTGAGTTATCTGACGTTCGCTCGAAAGGACTTCCGCAATAACCCCACCCGAACTTGCAGAGACAATCGGCGCAAGAAATGGAAATAACCCGCTCGTCGTCATGACCGATGACTTTATACCGTGGGTCCAGAGTCTGTGGTTGAGATGAGCAGAAAAATAAGAGGAAGCAAGAAGAATAAAAAATAGCCACTTACATATTGAAGGAGACAAGGCAGCAGACCAGAATCGAGAGAGAGACATCTACCCACCACAGAATCCAAGCTAGTTGAATCGGCCAGCAATTGCAGCTATGCGGTAGAGTGTCCAAGTATATACGGGAAACTCCGCACACTATGAGGAATGGGCAATAGGAAAAGGCGAGAGCTATTGCAAGGTCATTTAAGTAGACATCGATTTCTATACTAATCATACCCAGATTCCTGGGTCAGTAATATACTGTATGGCGTTGTAATGATGACGTATGCGTCAAACTGTAACTACTGCAATTGCTATAATGTATTAAGGGTATATACACGCTGGCAACTTTTCAATCCCAGAGCCTGAACCTCAGAAACTCCGATATAATTACAAATGAAAAACTTTCTTGACCCCTCCGATACAGGCTTGGTCTATTACTACATAGCGCTTATTTGTCACTTCCATCACAACTTTCCAAATACAGTAACTAACTGGGCGTCCCGGTAAGCAGACCCACAACGTAACGAGCTAACAGTGATGTTCCAAAAGTTTTTGAACACCCCCTGTACGGCGTAACCTACAGTACTCCGTATATGAGAGTCGGTTCCTATTGGGCGACTGACTCCTAATGCAGCTGACTACTTCATGGCGCTAACCCGAAGGGGAAGAGAGTCCTTACAACCTACAGCACCTGCCTTAACCGCTCTCACCGCCTGCTGGATACGCCGAACGGAGAAAATGCTGAAATTTCCAGCACATCTATTGCAGGCGGTTTCTCGTAGAACTGAGACATTCAGCGAGTCAGAAAGGTTGTATGCGCCATATCAGTATATGTAGAAGGTATTCTGGTCAATATATATAAGCGTTCACACCGGCAGAAAGTTATGTAACCAAGGGGCGTGGGCAGAGTTTTAAACCTTAACTATGAAACATGACTGTGCGCTGATTTGTCACTTCTATCACAACTTTTCAAATACAGGACTTTCTCGTACTACTCGTAAAATCTGTTTGGCCAAATACGTGTAAAGGTTATAAATGTTCTGTTCTCGATGCGTCCGTTGCTGTCGACAAAAAAATTCAACTACACATTTCGTCCGTCCCTCACAGGCCTGCTATTCCCTAAGCCTGAATTCGCCAATGTCACAGAAAAGCTCCGTCTCGCTTGAATATGAGCAACTTAAGAACCAGTTACTCGCCGACATGATGGCAATACCAGCATTCTTCCCGGCACTTCTCCGACTTGTTAGCAGAGGAGAACCAGTACCCATTGCTGCTCTTGCTACCGAAGTACACATACCAATCCACGATATCGAACAGTGGCTCCGTCAACAGCCCGGGACCGACTGGGACAGCCAGGGACGGCTGCTCGGTTTCGGCCTTACCCAGCGCCCGACAAACCACCGATTTGTCCTGGATGGCCGGACCCTTTACACATTCTGTGCCGCAGACGCCTTGATTTTTCCAGCCCTCCTTGGCCAAACCGCAAATGTTGAGTCCAGATGCGCGGATTCAGGCCAGCAGGTTCATGTCAAGGTTGAGCCAAATGCGGTTGTGTTTGCCGACCCTGGACAGACAATGGTTTCACACATTCCCGGGTCTCTGAGCAGTTGTGACATCAGAAGCACAGTATGTAACCACGGCGTTTTCTATGCCTCGGTTGAGTCTGCGCTTCACTGGCAAGAGAGACACCCCAACGGGGTGGTCCTTCCAGTTGAAGAGTTCTTCAATATTTGTTTAGCTGGATTGAAGAAGGCAGGCCTCATTCCATTTACGTGAAAGCCTGCGAAAGCGCAGTCATAACTATCTTATCCTGGGACGCGTCCTCTATTACTAAGTAGAGTCCCATCCGATCGAATGGCACATATAACTATCTGAAGCTAAGTCGACTAAGTGTATAGCTACAATATCGGAATCTATGTAGGCTCCCAGCAATCCTAGTAAGCAGACACACACTTATATTTAAAGTGGCAGTCAAGAAGCAGGAGTTCGCTTGACATGACATCTCAGATCCCCCGTATCATTACATAGCGACTGGACGCCTTTTTATACTCATGACACTGAAAGTTGTCGACTTCATTTGAGACTTTATCGGAACAAGTTCGTAATATTGGAGAAATTTTCTGAGGCTGGTTAAGGGTAGGGAAGCGTGTGTTGCAAATATTCTTGGGCGGCGGTGTAGCCTTCGCTTGTCCCATTCCTTATTTCTGAACTGGGTGTAGGGACGGGCAAGAACGATGCTGAAGACTTACCATAACCATACAATCCATGATAACAGACTCTTATAGTAATGCATGTCCTTGACTGAATTTAGAATTTAGGGAAAGTGAATGACGAGGAGCAGAATAAGCCCAATCGAGGTCAATCAGTCAGTCCCTCGTACGGTTCGTTCCTTCTCCCACCAAGTGACTAGCTGAGGTTACCATAACGTTGCATCATCTATGCCTTCAGACTCGAAGTATTTGTGTGTCTATTTTGCTTTCCGTTAAATTCGTACTCCGTATAGTGCACAATGATGAAACCAACCCTTATTTGTCACTTCTATCACAACCTTTTAAATACAGTAACATCCCGGTAAGCAGACCCACATGCAAGGCCAACGCTTATTTGTCACTTCTATTACAACTTTTTAAATACAGTAACTCTGTACTCCGTACCGCTATGAACAAGGATTTATAGCCTATTATAGAGGTCAATCAGGATACGCTAGTGCCTTTGCAGAGCACTAAATCCAAAAATTTATAAATTTTATCCAAAATTTTTTCGGCCGCTTAGGCTCTTAGCCAAGAAAAACTAATTCTAATTATGTTAATATAAGTGCTTATTTTCCCTTAAAAAGGGGCAAAGCACGGAATAACCGTGGTAATTTATGTAAGGGACGGTTATATGAGGATGGGACTACTGTTTAAATATGCAGTGTCTACTGCTTTAACTCGAACCAAACCTCATCTACCTTCTGACTACGAACGGTCTTCACTGTATTTTGGCTTTCGTCCTTAACAACTCCATCTTTAACTGCCCGCGCCTTTTTCTTCGTGTTACTATGTCGAATTTCGAAGGAGCTTATCCCGAATTGAGGGGAAAAGAGATGGCTCTCGGGAGTAGTCACCAGGGTATCTTGGAAGGCTCATCCCAGCAGAAACTGTCGACTTTACGTCCAGGAGAATTCGAGAAAATGTATATGTCGCCCGCGAACAAGGTGGATGGAAATTTGCGACCAATCTTTGGCAACCCCACTCCCCTGTGAGTCTTCATTCGACTAGTACACTAGGGCTTCCATATTCTGATTCAAACAAAACCGATAGTGGCTTGTTGGGCATGAATCTCAGTGTGAGCCCTCTTTGCTGCCAGTTAATGGGATGGGCTGGAGCTGGCGGTGGAGGTGCTGCAACGGTGTCAGTTTCATCCCACATGTTGAATAAATAGGCTTCAATTCTCTGTGGATCTGACCAGCTTGTTTGGACAGCGGCGCTTTCTATTTCATAGGTGGGCTCCTTATGACTCTGGCAGGCGTTCTAGAGTTCATTCTCGGCAACACCTTCACATTTGTCGTCTTCTGTTCTTTCGGTGCGTTGATTTACAAAGTATGTCATGACAATATGTCATCCGACTGATTTAAACAGGTGGCTTCTGGTTTTCTTTCGGGGCGACTCTGACCCCGGCATACAATGCGACAGGGGCGTATAACCCGTCAAATCCAATGAACCCGGAATTTCACTCATCATTTGGTATTATGTCTCCTGGTGTTATCAATGAGAAATTCTAACAGATGATTTTCGACAGCTTTTTTTGCGTTATTCATGGGCTTCCTCTGTTTCGTATACCTTATCTGCAGCTTTCGGATCAACTGCGCCTGCATGATAATGTTTCTCTCTATGACACTTGGCTTCTGCTTAATGGCAGGTACTTATTGGCTTATTGCGCGCGGAAACATGGATCTTGCTGAGAAAACGCAAGTTGTTAGTCCATCTCTTCACTAACCCCGTGTGTCAATTACTGACAACATGCAAGGTAACTGGAGCTTCGCTTTTTGTGACGAGCATGTCAGGCTGGTATTATTTCGTGGCAGAGCTGTTCTCAAGCATTGGCATGATGTCAATCCCAGTGGGGGATCTCAGTCGTTTTGCTAAGCGTATCGGCCTTATGGAGAATAAAGACTAGATGGGAAGGCTTGGGCACGTTGGATATGGCTATGTGTGTAACAGATGTTTGATGTAGTGAGAGGTGAGGTTAACTAGGCAGTGGTGTGTTGATGCGGGTACTGTCGTCGATTTCGACTACATCAAATCATGGTCTTTAGTTTGGGTGAACTCGGCGAGGAAGCAAAGGGAATATGGGCTATTGTTTTTTAGTGCAAAACGCCCTGGATAATAAGATCCCGGTTCACTTTCATCTCCTAGGTTGTTGCTTGACGGAATCAATGGAAGGTGGTTGATGAATTCTCAAACAACACAGCCTCCGAAACCACCACGCTTGCCCCCAGATCTATAAGGATCCGTCAATAATGCTTACACACAACAGAATTTCTATAAGGGTGGCATTGCGGGTAACATTGCACCTGGCCCGGTTAGACTCAACGTCGCTTTGGGTTATTCCCAAGAATTAGCCATATGATTGCTACTATTCGCTTGTATGCGGAGAAATGGAAAAGTTGCCAGAACTGATTAGATCCGCTTATGAGTAGGTTGGTGAACACGTATATTTTCAGTATTGGCCGGTTAAAGAGAATGCAGAAAAGAAACTATTTCACTGAAAGCCTCTGCTTGCATAAGGTTTTCTTCCTTGCCAGGGTGGCGAAGCCACCGCCGCGTATACATAACATGCTGAGACAGGACACGGTAGTTCTGCCGAAAAGTGAATGCGGTGGTTCAGAAAAGAAGGTACTGTAGGCAAACATCAACATGGCAAAACCGCTTGTGTATAAAACTTCAGTCATAAAAGGCTCAGATGTCTCTTCATCTTGGAATAATTTTATGCTTGCCAAACGGAAAGCGTTGAGAAGGACTGAATCATTTGAGCTCTTTCTCTCCTTTGAAAAAGGCTCGTTGACAGCAGGCACTGTGTTTGATGATGTGCCTTGAGAAACGGCAGTTTCCCTAGCAGCTGAACAGTAAGAAGGAGACGATGTTGGGTCACCATTCTTCTTGCGATCCTCATATGAAGTTGTGACAGGCACCGGTGTCCAGTTGAGGTCTTTCGATTTCAGTGTTCCACGAACTTGGAGCTCCCCAACACTGGCATGACAAGAAGTAGCCGTAGTTGACGAGATATCACAGGACAACAGAGCAGTTCTTCGTTACTAGAGTCAGATTGTTGTGCAACAAAGAAATAGCAGGGTTTACCTTTCCTTGTTGACGGCGCTTATTAGTTGAAAAGAATCCGGCGCGGAGATTGCAGTCATAGTGTTCTGCCTAGTTTTGGGATTTGCTAATTCTCCAGTTTCCATAAAGGTTACCAGGTAAGTTCTCGTGTTGTTCTCCTTCTATGACTTAGTTGAGACTCATATCCTTTGAACGGGAAATAGAAAATACCTCACTCAGGATCCCTGCTTGCAACTTCTGATCATGAATCCCGGGCAAAAGAAGATCCACTTCCGGAAATGCGCATATGAACGGAGAAAAGGCTAGGATTATGTAGAGAAATGAACGCATATTTGGTTGTGCTGAAGATAACGTCGAATGCTCTAGAAGAGGCGGACGCTTCATTGGCTCTTAAGTCTAAGAGGAAATGTTTTAATAAGTGGCTTCGAATAGCCACGTGTGCAAGAGAAACTTATCATTCATGTTCCGCAGACGAAATAGTATGTTGAGGCTAAGATAGTCAGCTTGTTTTTCCAGAAGCAAGCCGAGGGAATTAATTACGCCTTCGGTAAGAGATCTAAACGTTGGAGAGGATAAACAACTGGTAAACGGTCTTGAAGACTGTTTTCGATAATTAGTACCTTTGTGTTATGAGGCACAAAGTTCTGAAAAGTCTAAACGAAATTATTTAGCTGTTGGTCAACTGACAATGTGGCAAGCTCTCGACATGTCGGGTCCTGAAAAAGGGTCACTGGTGCTGTTAACGAATCAGTTTTCGAACACGTCAAGAAAGGCTTACTGTACAGTTCACTATTGACAAGCTGATCCCATCATTTTCCTTAACCATGAAGGATCCAAGTCATTATTTAGGCCATAATTTTCTGCCTCCGAAGGCAGATTAACATCCCAAGGTGTCCGCACGACTAATCTGGTGCCCACCTAGTTTATCATACATTCCAGGACATTAAACTCCAGAAACTATTGGCTTCTTCTGTTTTATCATACATAACGGAAAAGTCCATTTGCAGCAATAACCCTGGCTTATGTAGCGTACCCGGGCCAAATTCCGTACGAAATACTCAACGGACACATCCACACAGCATGATACAGAACATCCACCGTCATCATTACCACTAGATATTCACGGACATGCTTCCCTTCTTATCACCATCCCCCAATCTTTCTCTGTTTATGAAGGTGTGACAAAGTGTTCTATTTTGCTTCAAGCATTACATGTTTCACTTGCCGACTCTTCTCCTTGACAAAGGGTCCGAAATTCCGTACGGCTTCCTCGTCGAAGAACCCCCAGGCAATGTGCTCATGCGACACAGTAACGGGAACCTTAGCACCAAGCTGCGCAACTGATGTGTAATAAACCATCCGCAAGCCCTTGAGCTTGAATGTTCTTCTGTATACAAGCGGAAAAACGGCTTCCGGTGAAACAACTACGCCAATTTCCTCTTTCGTCTCACGCAAAGCAGTGTACTTCATGGTGGCCTCTTTACCAAGCTCATATCCACCTCCCGGCCCCTCCCAGCTCTCACCCCATGATCCGTAGCGTCGACGTTGAATGAGAAGGGCCTGTTGATTGGATGAATCGAATGGGTCTTGGCGAAGAATGATGAAGCCAGCGCTGAACCGGTCGATGTCGGGTTCTCTTTTTGAAGAGCAGGCACAGGTATGTCGACGTCTTCAAGCCTCAGCAAAACGGGCTCAGCAGGTGGCTTGTTGGGCAGCACAGATCTCATTGTCTCAAACTCACGAGTGGTCGGGAGAGAACCTTTTTGACTTGGATGATAGATACTTGAGAGAGCTCCGAATGGTTCTCGGAAATCTCCTCACGGCTTCCCTTTATATACGACGTATCTGTGTGACTCATTCGTATAGAGCAATGACGTGGCTGGGGGAGAGGGGATAATTGAGCTGGAATTGCATTTTTCAGTAACTGAAGGGCCTGTGATCTACCATATCCAGCATTCCTATGTCCTATGGTCTTCCATTGGACCCGCAAAGCTATCGTGCTTCCTGACCCACAGCTCGGCCCAGTGGATCTAGACCAAAGACATGAAGTTGAAGATGTGATGGCTGATCATCGACCGCATTAGCGGTATTTTACGGTGGCGCTGGAAAATGGCACAATCAGCTCTATTCGAGGCTGGCGGGCGGGGTGAGTGGATACCAGAAGACGTAAAGTAATTCTTAGTCTCATTCTCTCAGCCGGGATATCCGTATTGAGCAACGCGGGAGATAGCACAGCGTGACTTGTGCTGGAACCCAGGATGATCCCAATATGAATTACGATCCGCCGAATATCTCCCATGAGCTTGGAGCCATTAAATCTCTAAGCAGGTATTGTCATCCGACCGTGTATCACGCTGACCAAAAAGATAAACTTGACTCATTGCAACTGTTCTAAAGTGCGATTCGATGATGCACTAGGGGTGGTCTCAGGCGGCATCCGGTTGGCCTTCGGTCTCTGAGCTGGGTTCTGAAAATTACACGTGTCCGCAATTTTCCGCCCTCTCAGTCGATGACCAACTACAGTTCCTGTCCTGGCTGTTTGAGGGTGCCGTATCTCATTGCGCTCCCGCGCCGAGCACAAATGACACCTTTGCATCAAGATACATATCGAATCAGGATGAAGACAGGACACCTACGTCCAGCAACTCAAGCACAAGCGGCGAAACAGCCGATGCAGAACATACACGTTCCTCAAGAGAAGGCCTACCATGGTCCGTGGAAGAGGATCGCCTACTGGTGAAGCTCAAGGAGGAACAAAACCTCGCTTGGTCGGAAGTGATTAAGCAATTTTGGTCAAGAATTCCCCGGGAGGAGTAACGGCTCCATACATGTGTACTGGAGCACAACGCTTAGGAAAAAACGGCTATCTTTAGCGAAAGACTCATAGGGAATTGCTATCGGTTTGCTGATGCTGATGTAACTTAAGAAGTGTGCATTCCGTTTATGTTTACTGTGACCGTAACCACAACGACCCCTGACATTGGCCAGTGTCGGCTATCTCGCTGTTTCGCATACACCGGCCGATGCTTCGTTATGACCGTAAGGTGTTCTGCGGCCGCGTCATAACCAATGGAGAACGAATGCCGGCCCTTGGAGGTTATTCTATTACTCAACATGTTCAAGACGCATTATCCTTGTGACCTCATCTCTTGTCCATTGTTGACTGCCTAAACAGCGGCGAAGGCTTATTCTTCACATGGAGTCTTCCTAGCAAAAGTCGTCGAAAATCCAGTTTTCGTGGATTCTTGTTTTCTCCTCTTCGGTTTCAGCAGCATACAAGCCTGGAATTGTTCATCTGCTTTGGACTGTGCGCGTTCCAGTCGTAGACATTCCGTCAATTCGTCATCTGAAATAGATATTGGACAAGGTGTTCTCGCATCACGAGTCAAGTCCGTCCACTTCCTAGACAGTGTAATCAAATTTCTCTTGATATGGTGGTTCTTTCTACTTGTCTGCTTCTGGGAGACCAGCCTGTTCTAATTGTATATTCCGATCACTTGTTGGAGTTGATGATCATTTTGGTAGCACTTCATGGCCTCTGGCTTCCAGGTCTCCCAATGGAAATCATCAGTGATGCCCATAGCTCCCAGAAGTCCGGCAAAGAGCCCAAGGAATCCTTTCCAATCAGTGAGGTCGTAGCCGCAACAAAATCGGAATCTGTGGATGAGCCGGCCATTCCTGACAATCGTTGCGAGATCCGGATGCCCTTTTGCTTCAAGGCACTTCGCAAAGAACACTTCGTCTTCACCGATAGAATTTTCGCCCGCATAAAAATCAGCAACGGGGAGCAGGACAATCGGTGAATTAAATGCTCCTGACTTAGAATCCGTATGCGCCCACTCCCAGTCGATGATACCGGTGATATTAAACTCATCGTCGACAAGTATTTGGTCTCCCTTCTCGTTCGCATGCTTCAAGTAGAACTTTCCATCGTCAAGATGACTTCGAGAGCAGGCTTCCGGGACTTTGTCCAAGAGAAACCGATGAATCAAAAACGCATCGACTGCTCGATCGACGTACGACTCCTGTCGAATGATCAAATCCAAAATTAATTGGATATGTGCGCTAAAGTACTCTTTAGTAGAGAAGAAGGGGCCGAGCGCTTTCATCTGGGAACCATGGTACTCTGTCAAGGACTCTCGAGCAAAGGGTCCAATATCATGAGATCCAGGATGGTGCATAGAACCCGTCATAGCGAAAGGATGAGCATACAGCTCTATGTAGATGTCCGCAAGCTGACTTGTCACCTTTCTTCTTTGCTCAGGAGTGGCAAGAGACCAGCGCAAGGAACGTCCAGGAAGCTTCTCCATTAGAATATATCCAACGCCAACAGGGTTCGGTTCACAGAAATTGAAGTCAAAAACTTTCGGAGCTGGGACTTTAGTTTCACTAAGAAACTGCAGGGTTGAGACCTCGCTGCGCAGAATGTAATCTCGCAGCTCCGCTGGCGGAGAAGTGGCGTTGGACCTTCGAATACGCGCCAGCCAAGTGATTCCATCATCAAATAATATCTCGATATGATAATTCATCCCCCCCATAACTGAGCTTCGTGTTGATCTATCATATTGAAGATCGTGTGGTATGGAACAAGGGAGTCCTCCCCGAAGAGCTGAGGCTCGAGAAATGAGCGCAGAAATATCGATTTTATCAACAAGTTTGGTGATCTCATCTTGTTCGGCTTTCCTGGCGGCGGGGTCGTATTCAGCTTCTTCCTGTCCATAGAAATCAGCATGGCCCATGACACCTTTATTTTTGACTTACCTCCCATCTTGGACAGGTGTGGTAACTTGACTCCAGATGTTTCGCACAAAGATGACGATTACATAGAACGCATTCTCCGTATGTCCGAACAGCGGCTTTGTTGCAGTTTTCGATGTCACACAACCACATCGTCAGTTGCCAATCTTGTCAACCTCTCAAGTAGACTACAGTAGCAGAAAAGGCGGCCGCGTCTGCTATTTATGTGTTCAGCCCTTACCAGATATATCGCGTGAATTTTGTTGTGTCTGGTGCGGACGTGGAACTAAAATCATGAACACACCGCCAATTTGATACGTGGCGTCTGCGCAGAGTTCCAAGATCCCTGACTTCTATGGGGCAACAGCTCGACGATGTGCGGGTCGTTAGCCAGGATGAACGGACTCAACACCTTGACCTTACCAAAAAACCAGCACATGAGGTCTTGAATCAAGAGCCGCAGAATTCTGACACAGGAAGCAGGTCTTTTGCGCCCGATGCCAGACCTCCATCCCCCTCACATGATTTGCGTACGAGCGCCGAATCTGCACCTCAGCCGATGCCAGATTTGAATCGGCCATACATGGCAAAAACTGGCTGTTTTACCTGCGGTCGTAGAAGAAAAACCTGCGACAAGAAACAGCCGTCATGTACGTAACTATTTTTTCACGCTGAGTGGACACCTGTGTCTCCTGGTAAGTATGCCTCGCTGACAGATAACTCCAGGTGGGGTGTGTGGAAGGTAGACCATGTGAGGGCTATAAGCAATCAGCGATTCGGCGGATGCCCAGAGCTTCGAAGTTCCCTGAGCAAAACTCGGATATTCATGCTCAATCATCGCACCCAAGACCTCAAATACGCGATCAATTTATTGCAATTCACGGGGAAAGGGTAAGCCGGTGGTATCCTTGCTGAGGCTGGATGTGTCAGGAGCATATGATAATGTATCCCACGAACGATTACTCCATAACCTCAGAAAACGGCGACTGGCCAACTCGTGCCCTGGGTAAAGGCCTTTCTCTCAAACCGAAGCACGACAATCCGGATACCCGAGGGCAAATCAGACCCCTTCCCGACACCAACCGGCATTCCCCAAGGATCGCCAATTTCACCTATCCTCTACCTAATCTACAACACAAATCTTATCAAAATCCACGGGAATGAAGTGACTAGCAACGGCTGGGTAAATAACGCCTGCTTTATAGCTAAGGGAGATAGCAAGCGGGAGACCATCAGGAAACTCAGATTGGCTTGCTAAAAGGCGGACCAATGGGCCAAAACCTATGCCTCTGTATTTAATCTGAAGAAGTATGCGCTTATACACTTTGTGAACACCCAAGAGGTCGATTTGTAATACACACCGCTATCTCTCTAAAGATATATAGTGGCCGCAATCTGAACAGCTGAACATTATTTGGGATACTGGCTAAACCCTGAGCTAGAATTTAATTATCACAGGGAAAAGGCAACTGTCAAGGCAGACATGTCTCTCTAAGCGTTACGGAGCCTAATAGGTTCAATATAGGGAGCCTCTATTTCAGCTATATATAGAATCTACCAAGCAGTAGTTGTCCCCCAAATACTCTTTAGGGTATTAGCCTAGTACTAACCAATGGTAATTAGCAAGACGAAGGCACGCACAATTAGTTAACCTTTCATAACTATCTAGAAGTAGGCAGCGTGCCTAATTAGTAGAGTGTTTAGAATAATAGCAGCGGAAGCTCTGAATATTAAATTATACCTACCTCCTATTATAATCTATATAAACCGGCTTATAAAAGAAATAGCTGTGTAGTTATAAACAGGACTAACTTTTATTATTCCCCCTATAATGCTATAAAGTCAACCTATAGATAAGAGAGACTGGTCTGGATAGATACTGATAGAGGTATAAGCCTAGAAGATAGGCAGATATCTTATTAATCTCTTAGATATTTTAGCGAGCTGCTGGGAGAGTTAAAAGGTATTTATTTAAGCGCTATGGCAAGCGCTACTAAAGGTAATTATCGAAGATAGAGAGATAGCAATATATAATTAGACTAGATCTTAGCCAAAGATTTAAGCAAAAGACCCTTAATACTATATACCAATAGAAGCAGAATTAAAAGAAGGGTCGGAGCGGCAGCGATTATTAGCCTTAAAGATTAATATACTCACAGCTAGATAGGCGATAATAATATATCTACTATATATGCTGCCGAGCTTTACAGCATTAAGATAGCACTTATATTATTCTTAGAGAGCACAGAATCGTGGGCTATATGGGGGAAAAAAGGGCTTGTCATCTTCACAGATAGCTAGGCGGCATTAAAGGTACTCCGCCAGCCGCGAATGCTATCCGGACAGGTCTATCTAGCAGGTTGTCTAGACCTTATATACCAACTCGGTACAAAAGGCATTCCGACAGAGCTTAGGTAGATTCTAGCTCATCAAGGAGTAATTAGTAATAAGCTTACAGATTAATATGCAAAAGAAGCTGCGCAGGAGCCCTAAGGACTAGAGAACCCTTATAATCGATATATCCACCTAGCTACTACAGCTAAACGCTAAATTCACAGCAAGGCGAAGATTGAGTGGGAGAGGGCGTGGGCGAAGGAGAGGACTAGCCGACTAATGAAATGCCTAATTGAGGCACCAATAAAAAAGGCGCTGGTATACTGGTTAGGGCTATATAAGGCAACATCGTTAATTCTAATATAACTTCGAACTGGGAAAATCAGTCTTAGTGCATATCTGAGTCGCATTAACTAATGCAACTTACCCCGGTGCGACTGCGACCTAGGCAACCAGATAGTGACTTATGTTTTACTCAATTACCCGCTGCACCAGGACAAGCGCAATTAGATAAGAAGCGCTCTTTCCAACCAAGGAATCGCTCTCCGCCGGGATAAGATTTTGACCCGGCCAGAGGCTCGCATAATTATGGCCGAATTCATGGTTAAAACCAGCCTCCTAGGCTAGTTTCAGGTGGTCGATCCAACTACTCTATATGTAGAAGAGGGTGATAAGAAAGATTAACCCTTCAGAACAGTGTGACAGAAGGAGAAGGATAGTGCCTAAAAGGACTGTAGTGCCAGGTCCACTATAATCCCTTAATTAAAGCAAACGCGCGAGTGGCAGCCGATAGTCTGGGTGGCTGTGCAGAAGTAGGTGCGAGGGAGGTAATTATGGGGAAGGTGATCCTGGGTTGTAGCAAGAACCAGGGGGAATGTTCGTTTTGAATTTCCTACTTGTTTATGGTGTTTGCATATCTGCGTTTCTTTTATCTGCATATATTTGAGGACGACCAATCAGGAGCTCGCTCCGCGAGCCTCATGAAACAGTCGTTCAGTGGGCTGGCAACCACTTTAAAGCTGTCGGCAGGCCGGATAGCACTCCCGTATAGCAGCATAGATTAGAGCGAGCTACATCGGGCAAATGAATTCATCATCATCATCATCATCTTGCTGGCAGGACGGCAGTTGTCAGATTTTAAAATCACAGGTTTTGGGGAGCTGCAGTACAGACTCACAGGGTGCGTATTACCCGAAGGTAGAGCCGCCTCACTTTTGAACGAATTCTTGCCGCTCTTCCGGACAGAGTTTGGTTGTCAGTATTTTACGCATTAGGTCTGTACGTACGAGTATACGCAACCCAGTTGTGATTCGGAACTACAGTCAGCGAGGCTTTGATTGGATGGGATGCTGAGGAATTACAGGTTCAGCCTTCGCAGAGATTGCCTCCTGATCGCCACTTGGTTCCAAGGAACATCTGGAACTAGTCGGTCGTAATTCATGAAAGGTTCCCCTCGAGTAGACGCACGCCTCGCTCATACCGCTATGGCCCTTGTGTACAGTGGCGCCACAGAAGTCTGCGACCACCCCTTTGACCGCCAGCATCTCCGCCTCCCTATTATAGCCTACCTAAAGGTAGTCGCGCGTCGCGTTCTACATTACGTTATTGAAGATAATTTTTTGTGCAGCAGAATTAATGGCAGAAAAAAGCCGTCAATCAGGGGGTGGTCGCAGACTTTTGCGTCGCCACTGTAGGTCCGCTTGCTACGTACGACAGTACAGTACACTAATTAGGGCAGGGACGAGTACTAGGCAAATTGACAAAGTCGTGCCATAGAACTGAAGACAAGTAATAGGCCGCTTTAATTCGACCCTGCAAGGTTGTGGGGGTTCCAGGCTGGCTTTGCTAGCGAGTTGCGCACGAGGGAGTGCTCAGAAAAGTTGTGATAGAAGTGACCAATGAGCGTGGGTTTTATCAATGTGCACGATGCGAGTTTAATGGAACACTACAGTTGTGGAAAGTTACTCCAGTATCCAAAGGGAGAAATCTCTTCATTGGTGATTATTTCGGAGCAGAGACTTGTGGCCAGCCCATAGGAGGATGCACCGTCGTTAGCCGCAATGTCAAGTATTTAAGCCCTGGATTCTCGAAAGTTACTCCAACCTACCTTGCATGACATTCATGGTACTCTGCCGTATCTTGACCACCGACATGTGTTGCGAAATCTTCATCGTTATTATTGCTCTTGTAGCTGCTGCTCGTCGGAGCCACGCGCGAAAGAACCAAGAGGTGGCGCAAGAGACGCTTACAAAGGACACTGCTTCCGAAACCACACTTGCCCCCAGATCTACCAATGACAGCGACACGACGAGGGGTCTTTCAGAAAAGTCTCCCAAGAGCGCAGCCCCGGATGTAGAGAAGCCATGCTGGTCGTTCTGTGACCCCTGGCGCAAGTTCAAGCGCGCCAAGCCTTGTCTTGAATATTGAAGGTGTCCAAGCCGACGCGAGGCCGGAGTTTCGGTGCCTGGCCGACTGTCTGACTTCAAAGGCGCCTCCGTACTGTCGTCAATGGATGAACCGTCGCTGAAATCAAGTCGAGGCCATTCTGGGAGATGATGCAGTTTATCGTCAGCGTCATCTACTTGCTGGCATGCACGGCCTGTGCTTTGGTGGGAGCCTCTAAGCCACTTACAAGTGGCTCCGTTTCACCAAGACTGGACCAAGAGCCGCTCCTACTGCTGTATGGTACTTCATTTGCTCGTCTTTTCTCCGCAATGGATTTCAGCTATAGCTGCCCCTGCCCCGCCAGATAGTAAAGTCACAATCGAATCCTCCACCAAAGCTATTCAAGACTCCTTTCAGTATTAGGGCTGGACATTTATTTTTTGGTATCTCTCCCGAACGGAGAACTAACTCTGGCCAGTTAATAGAGGTTCGTTGAAATTTTATATCAGGTAAGAACCCACATCCTTGCTTCACAGTGTCTAAGGTAGCTTGGTCTAACGTTGCTGAGTATGCAAACCAAGGAACATTCTTTCCTAACAATACGCGCAACGGCTGCCTTCGTGCATATTCCGTCCGGAAAGCACGGCCCTAATGCACAACCGAATGTGCCTTATCAACTGCAACAAGGCGGCGACGTTCACTGAACTCTGGATGATAGGCAGGTGGCAAAGATTGCAGCCATCTGAACCAACGAAATTAGGATCAGACAAGAGCTCTCGTCGTCACAAATAATTTGATCAACTTCTTGGAGCCGTGCGCCCCTGGTTATCGAGATATTTCAAGAAATCGGTTTTGCCGAGAAAGAGATTGTTTTCCGACGATAGCAATATTTGAGGAGCTATCCTCGACTTTCTTCAAGGTCTTTGGTATAGCAAGTGCTTCGCAACCAAATAAACCCTTGAAATCAACAGTTGCTTATGTCCGCTTTACAAATTCCCGATCCTATCATGCATCACGCTTTTGCCCCGGTTTATCGTAACTATCGGAACAGTTAAAAATAATAGTCAACAAGAAAACACTCAAGACGACATTTATGGCAGATATGCTGGGTTCAGTGACCAATTCATGTGCCTGGAATGTGCATGACTCTTTAGGGCTCTCATCAATCTTTGGTAGAACTATCCATAGCAATATTTCACCACAATTTCTAGGATTCATGACATTGTAGATCTCTTCTCCATTGCCAATATAGTCAAACCGTGGAAACTCAAATGCAGGCAATCAGCAACTCGAGCCTGTATCCCGACGCAGGTCCAACTGCAGACCAAGCTAGCTACAACTTGGTGGACTTGGATAGGCGAGCAAGTCGCGATCAACGCAAGTACTGGCGCTTGAATTTATACCATCGGTCTCCGAACGAACGACGTGATTTCTGCCCCCCATCGACTGTGGACATCTTGTAGACCTTTTCCGAAAAGCCCTGTTTGGAGTCTCTTCCTTTGGAAGACAGGGAAGCCAGGGTGGATGTCTCGGAGGCAGGTCCATCCAACATGTTCTTGCCTTTGAGCGGAGCGAGCTTTTGTCTTTCGCGGTACCTGCGGACAGCAGTATCGAGACTGGTCTCACCAGGTTTACTCCAACCCGCAGGACGAGGCACCACAACGTACATCGAGGCGTGCATGCCACAGCACATGTTAGGCGGTCGATGGTGCGTGCCGAAATGTGAGGTTGCACCAGATTAAGGGTGGATTCTTGTTGAGGACGAGGGGCACAGAATCGGACAGTGGTGAATAGAAGTAGACTTGAGGGATTGCAAATGTAGGAGGGTGACTTTCGTGCACCTGGGGTGCTTCAATAAATATCGTAGTTACCTACGATGACAAAGGTTAAGAGTAAAGTTGATGAGTCGAAGTTAGCCACGGCCCCCTCCCCCGCCCAGCGTGTATTGATTATCTCAGATGGTTGATGAATTCCCGTTCACCCGCGCTACGGGGCGGAAAGGTTGTTTGTGGGAGCAGGTAGGCAGACCCGCAACTGGCGCCAACGCTTATTCGTCACTTCTATCACAACTTTTCTTACCAATATCTGTGTCCACCCACACCTCTTTCCGTGGTGGCTGCGCCACATCCTGATCCCAAAAATCCTGGTCACACTTTACCAAAAATCAAGTGACCTGGGGGAGGCGAACATGGGGTTCTTCACTAAATCTGCGGTCATGTGATGCTTCTTCTGTATTAGTCATCAACACGACCTTTCCTTTTTCGTTACAGTGCGCTCAGACCACAGCCAATGATGAGGCCGAATTCTGCCAAATTCTGCCACGCTAACCCGATGGGTTGCTTCATCAGTCTGTCAGCATCGCTGGAAAAAGTAGGCGGTGGACGGCCAAATTCACCGCTTTTTGGGGGGCGGCTGGGGAAACTGAGTTAAGTCCGAGTGCTGTTTGACCACTCCTTCAGTTCGTCCTGTTTGACCATTACGCAGCAAATCTGAACCCCATATATCCACTATATCTTGACTATCCTACCTTGAATATATAAATCACATACCGGGATAATTTTCTCAAGAGCATTTTCTAAAAACACAGTGCGATATGGAACCATCTCCACCACTACCGCTCTTGCCTCCACAACCGACGTCCATGGCGGCGGCTTCCGCAGCATCACGCTGGAAGGCGGTAGCCGCGCGAGATGCGTCCAACAACACCTTTGTCTACGCCGTCCGCTCGACACGCATCTACTGTCGCCCATCATGCCCGGCGCGCCTCGCGCGGCGGGCAAACGTCGAATTTTTCGACACGCCCGCACAGGCCGAGTCGGCCGGGTACCGGGCATGCAAGCGTTGTCAGTTTGACGTCGACGTGAAAGATGATCCACGGAGTCGACTGGTCCAGCAGGCACGTGACACCATTGCTGCAGCTGTCCTTTCATCATCGCCATCGGGCCGTCGAAGACCTAGACTGCAGGAGCTCGCAGCCGAGGCGAATTTGACGCCGAGTCACTTTCATCGTGTGTTCAAGAAGATCGCCGGGGTGACGCCACTCCAGTATGCACGGGCCGTGCGAGATACAGCGAGAGCTAGCAAAGAGGCGGATAATGTGGACATTACGGGAGAGAGTGATGCCTTGTTTCTGCAAGATGCGGACGGTTTAAATCACTGGGTCGATCTTTGCCAGGCACAGCTAGACGATACGATCATACCGGACAACGATTTCACCATGGACGATCTTATTGACTGGAATCACTTCGATGACATGATAATAGCTGTAAAGGAATCTGGTGCTCTGGGTCTGGAGTTGGGCACATGATTACGCTCGGTGGGCGAAGGCACTATAGTATGGCTTGAGTGCATGACGTGAAAACGGGCAGCGAGTGACGCTGCGCCGTCATCAGCAACTTGTTATTAATGTTATTAGCATAGTCTGTTTAGCTATCACAAGGCCGAAATAGGCAGTGGCCAGGCATAGACTTGATTTCGAGGTGTCGGTCAGTTACTAGTGGAGCATGCACTTTCGAAGTCGCGCGCCATGAGACTAGCCCGACGGCAAATATGGCTCTTGGCTATGAAAGGCCGTGACAAGAGCGGCTAGATTCATTTTAGGAAGTAGTGCGTTCTATGTCGACCCAGACCCCTGGACTACTTATAGGAACCCCCAATACTTCTCGTAAAAAACTCGCAAGACAGCCATTAAGCTCCAAAATCTCCTTACTCTGGGGCACGTAATGGCCGCCGCAAAACTCATAAATCCATGGATACTTACACCGCCGGGCAAGCTTCTTTTTCTGAAGAGGGGAAATTGTTGCATCCGCGACGCCGATGGTGTGGAAAATTGGGGTCACAATCTTTGGCGAATAGAAAGATTCGTAGCACCTGTTTTCGAGTTTGAATCCACTGAGGCATATAGCGAATCTTAATTGCGGGTGCGTCGTCTGAGTAAGACCAGTCAGCCGTAAGATTTATATGGACGCAAAATAAGTGCAGGGAAGATGATGGTACCCTCAATGTAATGCCATAAATTTTTCCTCTTTTTTCCAACAATGACGCGATGATGGCAGTTATAGCGGCACCAGAGGAAAATCCAACTATGCCGATAAAAGGACCGTTTTGTTCGAGTGTATCAAGGATATGCTCGATAGACCTCTGCAAGCCTCTTATCTCATCGTGCTTAGGTTCACCATAGCCCGAAACCCGCTGATAACTAAAGTTGTCATCATCGGGCTAGACTGGCCATATAGCGGACAGAAATTTGAATTCGAACTCCATCTCGTTTGACAGAGTGCGAAATATTTTTCGCACATACCTAGTTTTTGGCCTAAAAATGTCTGCAGACTGACCATGTCCTAAAGTCTTATATTAGCACTCACGCAAAAGCGATTCATTAGGGATTGGACCAAACTCAGCTATACCATGAAGCATCAGCATTTTCTGAGGCTTGGCGGTCATCCTGGAATGACGAGTCCATGAAAGAAGAGTGTATAGCAGGGATGATATGACTTATCAATCTTTCAAATTGAGGGCGCGTCTTACTTTATAACTAACTACTAACTAGCGAGCGAGGCTTAGTCAGAGCTACTAACTAACGTATGACGATGACTGAATGAGTTAACCGTTTACACCAGGTCCCTTGGCGAGCCAATAACGCGCAGAACGAAATTACGTTATCGATTTTGGATTGGAATTCCCAAGCCTAGATTTGTTGAATTTAAAAAGGGGTGGTGAAGAGAAGATGGTGAAGTGTTGGTACACGGAAGAGCGTCGTCGTGTTTAGAAGAGCGTTGGTAACCGAAACAAGTTGGTAAACGAAAATGCGTTGGTAAACGTATGAATCGCTAAAAGGGAGGGTGCTCACGTGTTGAAAATCCAGAGCTCCTCGAATCAAATGTAGCTTCCCCTGTTGATCCTTCGAGAGGGCTATTAGCTGGTGGAGCGTAAGCAGTTCATTGCTCCTCGCGTTGCACGATAGTGTCAGTTCTTTTTTTCTTTGCGAGGTTTCAAGCTCATGATTGGATGCTCGCCTTCGCAATTTTGAGCTTATTCGCTACTGAGAATGTGGAAAGCTCCTGGGAACATAGAGCTATTCGTAAAAGCAAAAGAAACGTAAAATAATCGGGGATTTGTCGCGTTTTGATGCAAATTTTCCATTCATTCAGAGCAACCGAGGCTGAGATGTGCGAGTGATTGGCAGAATTCTGTTGGAAATTACAAGTGTTAGGTCATTTTGCTCTAGATACCCTGCCGAGTATGCAAACTTGGTAAGAGATATTACTTGTGATACTATTGATTACCGCACTCGCTTTACTGCTAAGAGCAAGGGACCGGAAGCCAAGTGGGTATTCAAAGAGGCTAATGTGATGAACCTGATTTTCTTAACGTAAACATTCGTTTAAACAACACCTGGGTAACAACTGATGATGATGAGTGGTGGCTGGATATGCCGGAATCGGACCCATCGGTACGACCATTAGGTATTGATTTGAAACATACTCGTTATAGTGATAGTGATACCAGCACAGAAATATATCAATACAAATACGGGTGGCTGTGCGAGACATCTGTGGCTGTGTAAGAAACGGGTTCGATATGACAAACTAATACTATATTTTCAGTACAGTATTAATTACAATACTACGACTCCTTGTTCCCTACCTCCTACCTACTACACTCTCTTTCTGTTGCAGGTCTCGTCTACAAGTGGGTAAAACCCGTGTATAATGGCCCCTTTCATTTGATACTCGAATATAGCAGATATGTTTGAATCAGAACAGTATTCAGGAGAGCTACCGCCCATGTATATATCTGATCTATTTTACTACCAGTACTGATACATCAAATCACCTTTTTTCAGGAGCTTGCATTTCCTCTATAACTCAATAATTATGCAAGCAAACTATTGTCTACTAGAGAGGAAGGCGAAGCTAGGGTTAGAAAAAATACACGTGATTTTGGAATTGGTACATATGTTTCTATTTTTTTTTATCCCAGAAAGCCTGCTATAATGTTGATTGAAATAGAGGATTATAAATAATAATCTCTAACAGGTTATAGTGTTACAAGGCACTGAGCGAATGATTTATGTTACTGTATATACTTTGGACTATAACGAGCTCAGAAGCAAGAAGGTAAAAGCCAATTATCTATATAACTACTCTTACTTTAGAGACTATTATTTATAAGCAAGGCCCTTTATACTCTAATAAATTATAACTAAGTTAAATATAATTAAGGACCTATTAAATGCTAGCTGGACTTCTTATAATAATTTCCCTAAGAAATAATTAATAGTCCTATAAAATAAAAGCATTAGCTTATTTAAATCTGCTTCTTATATTATAACCTTAAATCAAGCAAGGCTATTAATAGGAAATTCTTTGTCTATAGGTCTTAATTTGCCAACACCGATTATTTATTATGCCTTAAAATAAATCATATAAAAAGGGCTTATTAAAAAGTGCAGTGCAGAAAAGAGACTCTTTTTAAAAAAGCCTTTAAATATTCTATATAATATAATGCTGATATTTAGCTTATTATATAGATAAAGAAGACTGGCCAGGTCTTTATTTTAACTTTAAATATAAAAGGGTGGCCGCTCTTTATAGAAGAGCTAGTATATTAACCTTATAGATACTTTATAATACCTATATATTGGCTATTGACCGAGTAAGGTTTTAAACTATCTATTACTAATCTAAAAAATAATAGATAAACTTACTAGATAATATAAGAAATAGGGTATCTTTGTTAATAAAACTAATATCTTTAGTTCAGATAATAGCGGCGTCTGAAGCATTATAAAGAACAGTAATATAGATACTGGCATTATAATTTCTGATATATAAGATTTAAAGTAGAAAGTGCGTGCGAGACTTATTAAGGGAGAATTTATACCTTAGCAGAATATAGCAGATTATAATATAAATTTTTTCTTAGCCTATTATAATAGCTAGGCCAGATCTATAATAGATTATAATCTATAATTCCTTAGTAAACTTGTAGAGTTGTCTATATAGTGTAGGGCATATATATATACCAGGGCCTTAAGTCAATTGTATTAGGGGAATGTGTAGTATTTTAACTACTAAAGCCAGGTAAGCAAGCATAAGCCCTTAAGGATTCTTAGGAGGTTAATAGCTTCTAGGACTGCTATTAAGTCTCCTGGGAGTATGTTATTAAGGCCTTAGGAATATAGGTTACCTTTTTAGGAGCGATAAGTCTCCCAAGAATAGGAAGGCCTTTTGCCTAGGGTATGCTAACCTATGCTTAGAGTAATAAGGGCCCTCTTAGGTCATTAGGTAAATATCCCTACTATGCACGCTATACCCTTAGAACTATTTAATATAAGTGCTTTTTATATAGTTTGTTTTACCAGATATAGCAAAGATCTACTAAAGATAGTCTTTCATTTAATGTTAGTAAATGTAGTCCATCAGTTGCGGATTTATAATGCCCTCTCAATAAATAATCGGCGCTAAGGTCTTAGCGGTAGGGCCAGGAAAGAGTAATTGTATACTGGTCAAGCCGATTTCGAGAATAACTATACTTTCCAGTTCGTGAACACAAACTCTATAATACACCACCTAGAAAGATTAACATTTCCATATAGTTGCAATGCTTATTAGTGAGAAAAGGGCTAAAGCTCCTAAGTATCTACCGGCCTTTCTATTTATTTCTACTTTAAAAGGTCAGAGCATGTAATTAAAGCATAGGAGACTGCTCGTTAAATATAACTCTAGTATCTGAATAGATTAACTTCAGAAATATATAACCTCCCGACTTAAAATAGGTATAGCACTAATTATATTTATAGTAAAATCTTCGCCACTTAGATTATAGAGTCTATATACTGGGCTAACTACCGGGAGAATTTAATAGATAAATTTTTAGAATTTACTAAGGCTTTAAAGTTGGGGATTAATAGGATTCTGCCTTAATAAATTTAAACTAACAGAATTTTTTATAGTATGCAAGGGGTACCTTTAATAGCGCTTAATATTATTTCTTATATTCTTTAGTTAATAAGACTAGCTTAGCCTCTAGCTTTTTTAGATATTTAAGATGCCGTTTTTTTATTAGCCAAAGAGGCTTAAGTAGTTTTCCTTACTTAGGGGGCTCTTAGACTACTTTAAGGTCTCCCTAAAATAGCGTTATTTAATTATGCCTAGAGTTCTTCTAAAAAATAAATTATAGATATAACTTTATAGTAATTTTTAAGAATCTCTAAGCTTTAATAATTGATAATTATCTTTAATAGTCTATTTCTTGCGCATAATAATTTGCTATGCTTATATAGTTATAGCTTATTAAATAAAGTTCTCTATTACTATACTGCTTATTATAATAATACTATATATATATTATAATATTTTAGTTGCAAGCTAAACTATTATAAGATTTTCCTTAAGAATATTAGCATCGGTAAGATTATTAGAGAATTTAGCCTTAATAGTATTTAGGCTATAGAAATGCTTTAAATACCTAATTATATTTTTAAGACCAGTAAGATAATTATCTAGATAGCTCTCTTCGCTATAGAATAATAAACTTCTAGCTCCTAATTAACTCTTCTATCTTTATTATAAGTTAGATATAGTTACTACAGTTAAATTTGGGTATAAGCGGGCTTTTATAAAAGAAATCTTTAGATCTTTTAAAGCGCTCTTCTTTCAGTTTATAATAAATTACCTATAATTATATTTACTGCTTTAGATAGTATAATCTTCCTTAAAAATATTAAAGACTCTTATTATCTTAGGTTTATCTAGACTAATTATAAAGGGAGTGCTACTAACTTAAAAAGAAGAATAAAATATAATCTCCTTAAGATAGTTAGGATAATTATTAGCGGCTAATATATTGTTATAATAGATATTAGGCGAAATAAATTAAGAAAGCTGGCTAATATCTAATGCTAAAGATATTATATTAAATCAAAAAGTATTAAAATAAATATTAAGAATATAACCTACTAAAGTCCTCTATCCTATACTCTTCTTATAATATATTATTTTTTAGGCTGTAGTAAGCTGCTTTGTAAGTTTTTCCTAAGGTATTAAGCTGCTCTACTATAATAATAGTCTGGGTATTAGAGCTAACTGAAGAGTATTCTTATAATAAATTTAGTATTAGCTGCTAGAAGCTTTAATAATCTAGTATTATTATAATAAATAAGAGGATATTTTAATAGAGGAGAGTTAGAGTAGACAGGATATATAGAGAAAACTGTAAATAAGGTATCTATAGGGATATTTATATTTTAGGCCTTATTATCTCTTTACGCCCGTCCTACTATAAAGTAAAACATTAGAAAATTAGGACAGCTTTTAGCTTTATAGTTAATACAATATAGTAATTAGACTATATATTTTATTAGTATAGCTCCTCAACCTTTTATTATAGCTAATTAAAAAGCTGTTTAATCTTATAATAGATTAATTGTAGGAAGTGTTCCCAGGAGTACTAGCATAATATAGACTATGTAATGGGCTTCTTGCTCGGAATTGTACTCGGGCTAATGGTTATGTCTCCACTTTGCGTAGCAGGGCGTATCGATGCAGTCGAGGCCTAAGGCAGGGCACGCGAGAATGTTTGCCCCATAGTATATGGTGGTCCTGGGATCAGGCCAGCCTCGGATTAAAAGTCGACAACCACGAGGGAATTCCTGTTAGGGTTTATACAATGGAAAGCGAAAAAGATCCTGCATTGTGAAAGACAGATTGAATGGTACAGCTAGAGATGATGAGATGTACGGATGTTCGATCTCACACAAGTTGAAGACCGGTTGAGTCTCCCAAGTGGAAGTTCGAAGACCGAGACGAACTATACCAACGTGAGAATACGTCATTTCCTGACCTTCGCTCCCAGGAACACGAGTAGGCAGCAGTGCGGTTATCGTCGGAGCATGTGAAAGAACGGAGAGGCAAGATGAGATCGAATGGGCCGGTCGGCCTGAGCATTGGGGTGAGCGATCAGGCTGCTCAAGGAGCAAGTCAGGGTCGCTCAGGGAGCAGCTCAGGGTCGCTCAGTGAGCAGCTCAGGGCGGCGGGGTGACTAACTCACCCTGTGCTCCGGGAGCCGATCACTTCCCGAGGCGGCAGTTTTACCGTCACCATTATTACTTATAAAATATATAAGAAGAAGCTATATTTTAAAGGTAAATATAGATATTATTATATATTTAAATATAACTCTATAAATTACTATTACTTTAAGGATAAAATCTCTAATTAATAGCGCTTATTAAGGGATATTTAAACTCTATTAAATTAAAGAAAAAATTACCTTTAATCTATAGAAATAAAATAATAAGAAAAAAGATTTTAATAGCTTTATAGGTATAGTAGTTTTAATAATACTTATTTTACTTATTAATTAAATAGTAAACTTAAGAGTATATAAGAATATATATAATAATAAGTTCTAGTTTATTAAATATAAAGACTTTATTAATAAAAAAGTAATAATATAAATATAATTATATAAATAATATTTTAAATAAAAGTAAAGGTAAAAGTATTATTAAACTAAACCTAGAGCTTAATAATAATTATATAAATAATATCTTTATTTACGCTCTATATATATTAAAGTAAAAATACTATTTATTCTTTATAATTTAAAATAAAATATTATATAAAATATAGTATAACTCTTAAAATAATAAATTAATAAATATAGATATTAATTAAATTATTAAATATATATATAAGAATAAAGATATCTTATAGCTTAAGCTTTATAGGTAAATAGCTATATTAATAATATTATTAAAACTTCTATATAAGAGATTAAGGTATATTAAAGCTATAAAGCTTAAAGCTATTATTAAATTAAACTCTATAGCTATTTAGCTTATTAAAGATATAAACTTTTACTATAAAGTATATTATATAATAAAGGTAAAGTAATTAGTATTTAAAGATCTTTAGCCTTATATATTATATTTAGTAAAATTCTTTTATATAAATACTTAGCCTATAAAGCTACTAAGAGTTTAAAAATATACTAATTATTTTATTATTATAAATAATACTATAAGAATATAATTTATTTATATATTAAAATTAAAAGATAAAGCTTTAAAATATATAATTTCCTTTATTAAAGAGATTAAGAATATCTTATTAATAAGCTACTACTTATAATATTAAAAAATAAATAGTAATAGAGAATTCTTAAACTTTAAATTTTAGGCTAAAGTTAAAGAACTAAAGATTAAACTAATATCTCTATAAACTCTAGAGAATAATAGTACTTTAAAATATTATAAAAGATATTTTAACTTATTAGTATATATAATAATAATAGCTTTAAAACTTCTAGAAAATCTCTAGCTATTTATAATTAAGACTATTACTTATATTATAAATAAATTATTATAAAAAAATAAGATTAAATCTCTTATTATAAAATAAAGAAGATATTTTAATATATTAAATAAAAACCCTTCTTTAAAATATTTATAAGTTTAAGGCTATTAAGTATATTTCTATATATTTAAAGAAGATAAGAAATAGGAATTTAAAATAATATCTTATACTTAAGTTAATTACTTAATTAAATATAAAAGAGATAATAATTATATTTATAAGATTTAAACCCTTAAAATAAGTAAGATTAAATACTTTAAAGATATTATATTCTTTAAAAATCCTAATAATCTATTAACTCCTATAATTATAAAAAATCCTATATTAAAGAGTTTAGCTATAATTAAGTATAACTATAAAGATATAGGAAGTAAGAATATTAATTACTTTAAACTAGGGGAATATTACTATTAAATAGCTATTAAAGCAATTTAATACTACTATTATTAAATAAGTAATATAATTATAATAAAGCTATATCTATAATAAAATACTTCTCTTTCTTTAAATAAAGATAGCGTCTGCGTTAATAGTAAAATACTACTAAATATAAATACTAAAATAATTAAATATATTTATCTTATTCTTCTAATATAAAAGTATTATCTCTTAATATACTTAAAGTATTAGCTTAAGTAATATCTGCTAGCTAGCAGGTTATATTATTACCTTAATTATTCTTAAATATTATTTATTTTTATTTAATTTAATTCTGCTTTTATTTCTAATATTCTTAGTTAAATATAATCTTTTAAACTTAGAGTATATAGATATAGTCTTAGTATAACTTTTATACTAGATTTAATAAGCTATTATAAAAATAATAAGTTAAGAAAAAGATAATATTATTATACTTAATAAATTAATAATTTTTATCTATTAAGTAATATAGCTAATTCTTCTGCTATTAAGTAAATCCTAGGAGTATTATAATATATAGTAATACTAATAATTCTTATTAATATAGCTATTTACTCTTATTAAAATATTTTTCCTTAGCTTTATTAATAAGAATTCTTATTACTACTATAAGTAATTCTTAAGGCTTTATTAAAGTAAAGTATTTAAGTACTAGTTTATAAACTTAAGTTATAAATATAAAAATAAAATATAGTTATAACTATAAGAATACCTAATATTATTCTAATTAAATAATATTACTATAGTAATTTCTTAAGATATTAAAGATAATTAAGTCTTCTTATTTTTTTAATATAAGATTACTATATATTTCTTTATCTATTATTTTCTCTAACTATAGTTTTAATATAGCTATAGTTAAGTTAATTACTTTATTATTAATAAAGTAATTATTATTATAAATATTATTAATTACTTTATTATTAAAAGAGTAAATCTTATTAAAGATATTTAAAGGTAAAAGTAAAGCTAATATCTTTATAGCTACTTTATTTATTTCTTTATTATTACTTATCTCTTTATTATTACTTATCTCTTTATTATTATTAATTTCTTTATTATTACTTATTTTATTATTAGCATAATAAATATTATTATAGCTATTATTAGTACTAATATTAAGTTTTTCTATTATTATAATATAATAATATTCTTTTTTAAAGATATATTAATAATATACTTTAATTTATTAATAAAATTCTAAAATATTATTTAACTATATTAATATTATTATAATAGCGCGTATTAAGTATATTAATACTAAGTATTTTATTAAGTTTAAGAACTATTATTTTTACTTAGCCTTATAATTTTATAATATTTCTCTTACTTAAATATTATAATAAAGTTTTAATCTTTTTTATAGAGTAAGTTATTTTACTAGCTATATATTTAATTATATAATTATAATATAGCCTTTATCCTTATTATTAAGTATAAAGATATTTATTAATATATTAATATTTAATAATAATATAGAATAAGTAGTAGTTTATATTAAATAAGAGAAGTTAAGCTAATACT